CAGATTGTCAAAATTTTGCAAATTTTATCATAAAATGGTTGTGATATAAAGACATGATTTCAAAGCATTAATTTATTGTGAGATGTTGGACAGGTTAAAAGATGTAGGACAGGTTGTGAGATGTTGGACTGGTTGTGAGATGTTGGACTGGTTGTGAGATGGAAAAGGTTGTGAGATGTTGCATTTTGTAGAGATGTTGGACTGGTTGTGAGATGTTGGACAGGTTGTGAGATGTTTGACTGGTTGTGAGATGTTGGACTGGTTGTGAGATGTTGGACTGGTTGTGAGATGTTGGACAGGTTGTGAGATGTTGGACAGGTTGTGAGATGTTGGACTGGTTGTGAGATGTTGGACAGGTTGTGAGATCTATGTACTTGGACCTATGACACCAGATGACTACTTTATGTGTTTAGTTAGTTTTTAATCCCCAGAAGCAGAGAAGAATTTTTCTTTTAATAAAAAACATTTACACATATGAATAATAAACAAGAACCCCTCGAAACCCGCCAAAATTGGATTTTGGTAAGTAGGTCATCACTTGTATTTTACGTTAAACTCCGTCAAAGAAGAAATTTTCAACCATAATATTTTCTATATAATCTATATAGTCTGCCCTAGCTAGGGCTAAACTTACGGACACTGCAGCCAGGAAGGCGCAATACTTGTGTCACAATTCAATTTTTTGAAAATCGATACAATCAAACTCGACTATTCATAAGGCTAAAGAAAACATATTCAGATTAAAAAAAAAAAAAGCAAAAGGTGATACAATAGAGAGAGATACTACCAGTGAAATTCAAAAGGAAAGCCCTTTTGGGCTAGTGGCAATATATTTGTGCGATTTATTTTTAAAAATAACCGGCAAAAATTAAAATAAAACTTATGTCCAAAAAAATTATCATAGAAAAAGTCAATACAAGGTAATTCTTTTTTCAAAATAAAGTTTAATTTCTATTAAAATTAATTTCGATAAATTAATGATTAATAAAGAAAATAAAAATATTTAAAAAAATTATCTGATGATCTTAATTTCCTTTTCTGATCATTTGCAACTAATTTAGAATGAAATTAAATTCCTTTTGTTTTCACATTAAATTATTAAATACACTAGAAATGTATTTTATGTGAATCACAAAACACTGATCTTTATTGATGCCCTGATTGAGCGCTATAATTCAATGAGATATATGCCTTTATTTACACGTGTGTGGGGGGGGGGGATCCAAAAAAACGATCGTTTTTGGAAGTAAATAAGTCAATTAGTACTGCAAATTGAAAATAATTGAGATTTATTGACAGTAGGAGCATTTGGAAAATATTCACTGGTTGGGAATTTGATAGCAAAAAATACCATATGTTTTTCATGTATTACATGCTTATATTATCGTTTTTATATTAATATACTTTTGTTAATTGCACATCCTTGACTACCTGTGGTTCCAATTAAGAGCACTTTATTCATATATAGCATATGGCTGCCTGATGAAACGTTGCCGTCTATTTTTTCCCTTGTGTGTGTCAAATTAAAATAGATGATTTGTTATTGATTTTTCAAAGAGTTAACCAAACCCGATTATAAAAAAAATTGTATCGAACCGAAAATCGAGATGGTGAATAGAATATTGAACCGAGCAATTATAGAACAATATCGATATTTCGGTAATTTATAAGCCCTAGTGCACAAAAACATTTTTCCCAGGGGCCATTTTTCACAATTTCTATAATCGAAATATTCATTAAAATTTGCCAAGAATTTGACTGCTTGATCACCACAAAAGAAGATTTTTAAAGATTGCAATAATTTTGATGGTTTTGGCCCCACCCCTCAGGCCCCAGGGGGGCGGGGACCATAAAATTCACAATTTTTGTTTCCCTTCACCCATAAATGCTGTATACCAAATTTGGTTGAAATTGGTTAAGTGGTTTCAGAGAAGAAGCTGAAAATGTTCAAATGTTAACACACGACGGACAACGAACGACGGACGACGACGGACAAAAACAGATAGCAATAGGTCACCTGAGTTACTCAGGTGACCTAAAAATGGACTGGTTGTGAGATATAGAACAGGTTGTGAGATGTTGGACAGGTTAAAAGATGTAGGACAGGTTGTGAGATGTTGGACTGGTTGTGAGATGTTGGACTGGTTGTGAGATGTACTTGGACCTATGACACCAGATGACTTTATGTGTTTCTTGGTTTTTTTTTTTTTTTTTTTTTTTTTTACATCAGAAAGCTGTACAACAGACAGCTTTACATTCAGATAAAACTGTAAGATACATTTTACTGATACAACTGAACTTTGTATCTCAAACTCTATCTCAAATACCCTTGATACGTCGAAGTGATATGTGGAAGTCCCAACTACATTTTCTTTAAGCATTTTACCCTCAATATCTCAAATCCTCTGATATCACAAAGTTGTACCTCAGCCCCATCAAATTTGAGATTTAACAAAGTTTGACTGTAGTGTTCAAGCTTTTCCGGTCTTTGACCGGTAGGGCAAAATATGAAGTGTCTGTGTGTAATCCCCTACTTTACTGTGCCTATTAGAATACCGGTAGTACTATTACCTTAATTGATGTCAACAGCAAATTTCCACATAAATAGATGTAGATAAATTCATCAAATTGAGTACTCAGTCTCTTAATACTATAAAAACAAAGAGGGAACACAATAACAAGGCTCTCACCTCACAATGTAATGCAGTTATTGTTTCCTTTGTACTTATGGATCAAATTAAATTAAGCATTGATTCATTCTTAATGTTAGATCATTTATTTTGTGCCGGTTAGACGGTTTTGATCGCTTGTGGTTAGATAGCTAAGTTGGTACCATAGAGCACTTGTCTGGAGATTCTGTATGTGGATCTAGGTTCAAATCCTGGATTGGTCCATGGCTGTTATATGAAGTGATAAAATCTAGGACAACAAATTTTCGGTGCAACACTTGATAGATATAGCTACATGCAGCAATTAAAGAACCACATTAAGTGTTTTAATTCAGGGATTTATCAAGGCTGTTTTTACTACCGGTAAACGGTACCTTTCCCCTCTTGAAAAAGGTGAAAAATTCCCCTTTTTCAGATAGAAAATTCTCCGATTAAACGGAGAATATTTAAAACATTGTACTGAAATTTTCCATTTTTGTCCGATTAAAGGTTAACAGCATATCCTAACTCACCATCCTAGTCATTCAAACGCTTTTGAAAGAGAGAGTAGATTATTCAAGCTTCCATTTGATATTGATCGGTAAACATGTGCCATGTCCATGATGTCGAAATATACGCTGCGATTGCAGAGTTGAGAAAAGTGTAGATGAGTAAGACGGAGCTTAAATCACTATAAATCGGAAGAATGGAGTAACAACAAAAACAATGTTAGTAGTGAAACATGAAAAACAGAATTGATTTGTGATAGATATTGAGAGAAAAAATTAAATAAAGTACTGACCTAGTTAAATTTTTTTTTTTTGTTATTTAATATTTTGTCTCAAAAGTGAAGTTTTTGTGGCCTTTGTAAAGGTCTACAAATGACCCTCGGAAGCTCTAAGAATGCAGGATTTTGCTCCATTTATTTAAAAATTTTCCGGGGGGGGGCATGCCCCCGGACCCCCCTAGAATACTCGCGCCTCTGGCTCTCAGATCGAGCCTGCGGCTCTCATTTTTCCCCTTTACATATAAAACGGTAGTAAAACAAAATAGCTAGATAAATCCCTGTAATTGTGACAGCAGCAATTATTTATAATGAATCCTAACTAAAACATCAATTTCCTTTTACAGAGGATGGAGGAAGAATTTATAGTTTTTGATTAAGCTGAAGTTAATATAATAATTATAATATTATACCAGACGTAACTTCCATTGTGAAAAAAGTATCTTGACTTCCTTCACTTTTCCAGTTTGTAGTTGTGGACAAGCACCTTGATTCTTTTGAAATTTTTATTTAATGAAATTTATTTTTCACTCATCAAATATTGAAAATAACCTGATAACATGAAATACATCTGGATAATTATGAAATATATGGAGATAATGAACAGTGCGCAAGCACAAAAGTCTATTAAACAATACAAAATAGGAGCACAGGAATCACAAAACATCAGAGGTGGGATCAGGTGCTATGGAGGAGTGAGCTTCCCCTGCTGGCCGGTCACACCTGCCATGTGATATAGTTTAATACTAGTAAAAACATTCATTTTTTGAGCATGATATCAAATTTCAAGGCATCTAGGCATCATTATTAAAAAGCTTCTTTGTTGGGGGGGGGGATGTCTGTAAACTTTTCAGGGCTTTTTTTAAGATTTAAAAAAAAACAGATGGTACTATCTATACAAAAAAAATAGGGGGCACCTTGTGAAACTTTCAAACATGTTATTGAAATTCACTGCTTTGAAAGAGTGTCATTGACCAGAGTGTAATCTGTGTATCAGTTGTAGTATCTAGTAAATTTATACATAATATATAAATTAATTTATGTCTGTTTAATAATCATTTATGTAATATGCCCAAAAGGGCCCTGATCTGGAATAATAAATATATTCTATTCTATAATAAACAAATAAAATCTTACAGGAGGATGGTTCTGCTGCCAATATATTGATTTACAGTTTTCAACTAGACTTTATGCTTTTTTTCTAATTTGATACTTTGTATTATAACATAAAAAAAAGTCAGTAACACATTTTACATGTACTTTATATAACATAAATTTCTTAACACTGGGAGATGCCAGCAGTCCGTAGTGTTTAAAAGCAGATGCGTAACACCTGAACTTACAATAACTGTGCATTATCTTTGATCCGCCACCGAAAAATTATAAACATGTGCAACCAATTTTTCAAAACAATAACAGCGAGAGAAAATGGAGCACATTAAAATTCCACACGTAAACAACAATAATATAATATCTTATTTTGTATGGTGACGTATTGTTTAGATACATTTAAATACTTAATAGTTAAAGATCATCTAGGTGAATTGTGGTTAAAAAACAAAACCCACCATATTCCATGCAGTATCATCAACAACAAGGCTGGGAGCACAAAATCATCAGAACCCGCTGACCATCTCCTTTTGAATACAACAATGCCCGGCATCTTAAATCCTGCACAAAATTAATCACTTGCATCGTCCGTAAATTCCACAGAAGAAATTTAAGCTGTAACACTTCGACATAATGAAAGTAGGTCTCCGCGCTTCATCCACCGTGATTTTCTTACAGCCATTCAACAGACGATGTTTGTTCAGTGAGGTTGAACGCGGTTCGACTAATGACAGGAAAATGGGGGAATCGAATACACGGGGAAATCTAGACTTTTTGTAAGATAAGTTAATTTGACAGGCTCCTATTTTCCACATTGATGAAACCGGTAGATCATTAAATCCACGAAGTCTTTAAAAAAAATTGCTCACATGGGTCATTGGGAAAGGGGGAGGGGCACACGTGGATTTCGACTCATCCAGAGGGGCGGGGGCGGCGGCCACCTCATTTAAAGGGTTTTTATCATGCATCATGATTTTTTGATATAACACGGTTTATACGCTATTAAAATCATCCATCAAATTTTTTTGGTTAGAAAAATAATATTTTGGGTGTTTCAGCGATTCAAAGTTTAAATTTCTCAATATGCATATTTTGATCGCCGATGTTGCGCGCCATTGCTCTGACGTCATAGGTGTCAGTCCTGGTAAAGCGAAGTACTTATTGTGTTTACAAAACGACTCAATGGCTACGTCTTAAAACCTTACTAGAAATTAAATAAATGATAATTGGTTAATTGATAGATAATTAGATATAATTTGTGGCGTTTGGATGAAAAATCAGCACAGAAAAGGTTTTAGGAAGTTTTTTTTACCTGCCAGGGACTTGGTCGGTGCGTGGATTTGTTTCCATTCAGAGCATTCGTTAAAGTATGATCACAATTTTTTTCTGTATTATATAAAATATCTATTTGATGGAAATAGTATTTTTCAAAAAATAATAATTTATCAAAAGGCATTTTGAAAGTCCGACACACACACATCATGCACTAGTCTATGTGTTGTGAAGTTCGTAATGGCGCACGGCGCCATTGAAGATCGAAGTGACCGTTTCTATCAAATGATGTTCATTGCTGGAACAGATAGAAGACACTCAAGATCTGTTTATGTATAATTTATTAAAATAACGAAGAAAGAAAACATATAACGAAAATTTTTATAATTATTTAAGAAGTCAAACGTTAATAATCCGATCTATTCAGTCGAAGTCAGTTGTCATTAACGGCTTCGTCTTCAATGCCCTATCCTCCTTTCACGGTATGTATTTTGGTTTATTTACTGTTGTAGAAGTTAATACATATAATACTTAGCATCCATTGCCAATGTTATATTGTCAATTTTAAAATTTCTTCCAACCTAGTGGTGTATTCTTTTTATTTCATGCAAATATCTATAAGGTAGATGTTTTCTTACGATACGCTTTACGAGGTCTAATTGCCCATTGACACCTATGATGTTTCAGTACCACATGACCCCTATCTAATTAGTGGAGATTTTTAATCTGAAGACCCTACATTACGGACATATTATGGCTTAAATACGACAGTTTAAAACATTATTTTATAATTAAACGATAATTATATGTTACAAGAATATAATAGTGTTTAATTTTTAAGAAATTTCGTTGCGTGATAAAAACCCTTTAAGGGGGATGTACAAGCCATATTGGATCTAGTCTGGTGTAAAATAAGAAATACCAAGAATGCGCTTAATACTCCACTAAACTAGCCCAAAGTTACTCAAAGTGCGAATGCATTAATTACCTACTGTTAGAGACCAAAATTAGTAAACAATTAAGTTTATTTTGTTTTAATTAGGAGGAAATTAATCATGTTAGAACTGCGCAGCTACAGCATTTACGAGATGATAAATGCCTTGAAAATGGTGTAAGTTTGATTCATTGATAATATGGCTACAACCATTTGTTTCGCTTTTTTCTTGTCATTATCCATAATTCTTGAAAATTTGATTTTTCATATGGGTGTCTTCCTGAGGCAATGTGTTTATTTCGTCCGCCATTCCTCTGTCACACAGAGTTCGAATAACATTGATTTTATAATAAATGCGACCATAATAACATCAAGACAAGAAATTACTAAGTAATAATCAATAGGTTATATTACTTACTACTTTTATTTGTTGCATCGCATCATCTGATTAATGAAAAAACGCGATTTTAACCCCACTCCAGCAAATCGGGAAAAACTGTTCTGTTTACAGTTCGAGTTTCCTCGATAAAATTATTCCACTGAGCACGTGGTTGGCATGTGCATATATCTGCTGTGGATAGATCCGTTTATTACCATGATTATATTTAATTTTTCATGGAACAAGTCTTGATAATTTGTTGGTTTCTTTAAAACTCAAGAAAAAAGATATAAATGTCCTAAACATATGTGTTTACGGCGGGTCTTTTTTCTGTGGCGACAGAAGTTATTTTCAAATGGGGCACTGCAAGGAGGATGCTTAGCATTTAATTTGAAAATGTTAAACAATATGCGGTGCATGAAAAACAAATTGTAATTACATGTCTTACATTCGAAAATTGGTACATATGTATATATATTGTTTAGAAGTTATATAGAAAAAAAATAGGCAGTTATAGGATTTCCTTCAGGCACCTCACATAAATAGCTAGATTGTTTGCAATGACCAACACATTGTATGGAGTAATGTTTGGACATAAAAACGCATCATGTCTCATTATGTTGACAACGTTGTAAGCTCTCGCTCATTGAACATACGAAGCTTGATAAAATATATTAAGTTGTTTCTTTGAAATTTAGAAGCGAGTACAATGTTTGCAAAGAAAGGTCCATTGCATATGCTAAGTCTATCATTGCAAAAAAAAGTGAGAGCCCCCCCCCCCGAAAATCCTATGTTTGTTTTTCAAAATAGTGCAAAAGATTAAAAAATTTTGCATTACTAAGTACGTGATGGAATATGTACTAGCCTTATAAGACCACTTGTTATAAAATATTTGGTTGCCCTCTCTCCCGATCTACTGCCTGGTCCAAATGGCCCGACTCTTTTCTTTTTTTTTTTTTTTTTTTTTACATCCCATTAAATGATATTTTTTTCTTTTTCTTCCGTCAACAATTATGTTTGAATTTTAAGGAATTTCTTTCTCACCTATAAATACGGACCCAATAATTTTTCCCTGAGTTTAGAGGACCACCAAACGTCATTTTAAAGATGGTATAAAATATCTAATTATGTTGATTTTTTTCTTTGTAAAATTTTAATTTTGACAATATGGGCAAATAGAATTTTCGTCACAAGTACCTGCATGACGTCATTTTCAGACTGTGACATCACAAACAAGGAACAAAACATCAGCATGCTATTTATAGAACTTGTGTTTGGCTATGTTTCTAATCTGAATTGTGGTTTTGTAGATATAGAGATAGTTCGAACTTTTTGATCACCCCTCGTACTAGTAGGTATTAAAACAAGGTCATTCATATCGATTATATGTGTCTTATTTCTTTTGTGTTTCATAGGTGATAATTAAAATTTTGATAGATGATATACTAGTAAGTTATCTATGGCAAACTTACAAACTCTTAATTTTTAACTATGATGGTGCTTATTTTTCCATACCTGGAATCAAAGACTTTAAGATTTTTTTTTATATCAATACGTACACTATTTAACAACTGTTCGATAATAATACTAAATAAATTACTTCAAGCAACACTATAACATCTTTCCTCTTTTAAAAGTGTTCATATTATTTGAAATATTTTGCAACTGTAATTCTCTTCTACATTTAAAGATAGTTATGTCCCTCCATATTAAGAAGAGGTCTGGAAAACAAAATTCTGTGCTAAAAATAGACCACGTGCTGCTATCAATGAACTACTTTCATGGTTCTTTGCACTCTTTTTGAAGACAACGGTGCCTTGTTTTGAACTTTAAATTATCATTTAAAAGTGCAAAATTTAGACATTTTCTCAACAAATGGTTGTAGAGAGAACATTAATGCACAGTTTGCATATTTTTATGGATTTTTTAAGGCTCTGCTGAATTCTGTAGCTGCGCAGTTCTAAAGAGCATATCAAAAGCATTTTTCTGCAAAAGTATAGATTATATATACACACAACATGCATTCAGTTATGCATATTTATTGTATCTTTATCATAAGGACTTAAAATTTGATCAAAATATAATGTATTTTAGCCATTTGAAGAAATGTTTACATTTTGTTCTCACTTCACTAAAGGTGGCCGGACATCCCCCTTAAGTTTTCTGAAAATATTGGGATAGAAAGGAAAAATATTGTTATGATATTAAAATGTACATATTGATCAAAATACTTTGAAATAGACTGATAAATATAAAATTTAAATGAAAATTGTCCTGGATACTTGCAAATTTTTTAACATAGGCCTCCATATGATATTACATTGCAATTGGGTTTTAATTTTGAAGCAAACTTGGATATTTTAGACAAAAGTCAAGAAAAATTAAGTGGTATTTATATTTCATCCTCTTTGATTTTCTTGTTTTGGTGTGACATCAATTTATCACATTCACACGGTACTATAAAATTATTTTTAAAAAAACTCATATTTTTTTATATAGTTGGTATGGAATTCCATATACATGTATTAAGACAGACAAGTGCTTACTGCAAACTGCCACTGTTCAAAGATGACATTGCCTATTTTGTTTTCTTTAATATATTTAATTGATTAAACCTTAAATGCAGAGTCAATAATAACATAAATTAGCGGATTCGGGAAATTTTTAACAGTGGGGGAAGGGAAGGAATAAATAGGAGGAAAGAGTATTAATTCCCTTTAGATACAATATATCTAATTCCCACATTAATTGCCAGCAAATAATTCAATTTTTTCCGTGGGGTGTATAAAAGGCTTGTACAGTGCAGGGAACTAATTTTGTTACATAAACCAGCATCAGGATCAGCATAAGTAGGATCAGGATAGAACTAGCATCAGCATCAGCATTTAAAAAAACAGCATTACTTGGATCAGCATCAGCAAGGAAAGGATAGAACTAGCATTGACCAAAGTGAAAACAGATAAAGGAAAGTCATTTAATACAAATTACAAATAAAAACTACCCCAAAAATTATTTTTAATGGCTTAAAATAGTGATGCTGTTTTTGAATTATCCACTTCCGGCAGGATAATCCTACTTCTGGTAGCATTACTAGCATTGACCTAGTTTCAAATCAGCATCAGGATAAGGATCAAACCAGGATCAGGATAAGGATAACTAGCATCAAAATCAGCAAGCAAAGGAAGCATCAAAATCAGCAAGCATAGCACCAAAATCAGCATTGATGCTGTAACAAAATTATTTCTCTGCACTGTATACGTCAGAATACGGGGCAATATTTTAGTAGGATGTTGTATCCCGCTGAAAGTGGGGGATATTTAGTAATTTCGGTCTGTCTGTCCGTCTAGCTGTTGTCCTGTCTGTGCGTAACGCTTTCGTTTCCACGCGATATCTCGAGAGGCATTTGAGTTTTGCAATGAAATTTAACACAATAACTCTCCATGGGCTAAAGAAGATCTATGTAGATGTTATGGTCAAAATGTCAAAGGTCAAGGACACAAATCAAAAACTTCTGTCTGTTCGGTGGAGTGAGGGAGAGATGAGTGAGAGTTTAGTGAGAAGGAGAGTGGGAGGAGAAATTGAGGGTGAGAGAGTGAGGAGAGAGAGAGTGGGGAGAGAGAGAAAGGAGAGAGAGAGTGGGGAGAGAGAGAAAGGAGAGAGATCGAGAGAGAGCGGGGTTAAAGAGAATGGATGACATTGGGGGAGAGTGGTGGGGAAGTATACCTATAAAAATTGTAAAAATAAAACAAGTATATACTGACAAAACGTCAGAAATACTCAAGCTGTAGAAAGTCAAATAGGAAGTATCATTATATCCTAAAATGGTTTTAAGATGAGGGCTACATATTGAGTTCAATCCTCTGTTGAATAAACTACATGACTGTATACATGAAACAACATTCATATATTGAATTTTATTAGAAAAAAAACATTATTAATCGTACTTACAATGTAATTACTTTTTAAGATGAATTTACGTGACACACTTTCAGGAATATTTTATAGAGCATAGTAACGTTTCCGTTTCTTAATGAAATATTTTATGTAGACATTTAGTATACATGTACTTCAAACTATATACGTTTTTGTATTTTTTGCTTAATGACGTACATCTCATTCAATACATACATCAATTAAGATAGCTTGCTAAAAGCCTGTAGAAAAGTTTTTCAAAGTGAAAGGGGGGGGGCTCCAGGCTCTAAAAAATCCACGTGACTACGGGTTCATCCATCGTTGCAAACCACGGACAAAATGTACGATCCTCTCCTACTTCGGACCGTGGCTTGAGACGATGGGGTTCATCTGTCTGAGCGGCATGTCCAATGCATATTCGGTACGAACCAAAAGAAGTATATAATTTCCGGTACCAAAGCTTAATACGAGAATTTAACATTGATTTTGTGCTTGTATTTTACTGTCTCTCAAATTACACATCATTTGCAGGCCCGTGAAAAGCAATTTCAGTTGGGGGGTACAGCCATACATTTTCTGGCCATGCATCGTAGAATTTGTTAACGATGGGGTAACCTGCGTCACCTTTCAGAGTCTGCAGTGGACTCGTCCAAGGATGCTTTGTAGGCGACTGTAAAAAGTTACCTGAGATTCATGTATGCAAAGGAAAGCGTGAAATCTCTGTATAGAAACTGTTGCGGCTGCGACGCTTCACTCATTGTTCATTCGACATAGAAAATAATCCGCTATTTAACACTTATATCTTTGAATATACAGACGTTTTCATGATAAGCTTCATTTTTGTTTCTAGAAATATTTTTATCTACAAAAATAATATATTTTTGTAATTTTAAACTGAGTAATTCGATGACCTAGCATCGTTTTAGATAACTCAAGCCCCTCTAGGGCTTGAGTAAAATCAAGCCCCTCTAGGGCTTGAGTAAAAAAAAGTTTTTTTAAGTAAAACAAAGCAAAACAAAATGTACTGATCAAAATCTGGAATAGGGGTGGAGTGGGGATGGACCGCGGAGACCCCAAACACAAAAACAGATCGTTATGCACCACTAGGCTATACACACACAACTCATTTGAAGAGTTCAAATACTTCAGTAAAGTCTGGAACTGTGTACTACAGCTACATTTTAATGTTTACACTTTTTCCAAATCAAGTTTGGATTTTTGTATATCTTACTTTGCATTATACAAGAATTTTCATCGATTGATATTTTCGTCTCCGTTGATAGTGGCCCTGGGAGAATGTCAATTTCGGTCTGTCTGTCCGTCTGTATTTCTGTCAAAAAGTCAAAGGTAAAGGTCATAAATTAATACAAGCTTACAGTTTTCAGAGAATTTTTGTCCCCCGCTTAAGGTCAAGATCTAGTAAATAAAAGGTGCCTACAGATTTATCAAATCTGAGAAATAAATTCCTTTATTGATGCTTTACAACTTTAGCTGGTCAAATAAGGTGTTTCGGGGCATAATTTGTAGGTAAACAAGATGTAAAACTGTATTTTAAACTGCCATTTTCAATGAAAAATTAAGAAAACCAGTCATTAATATGGGAGTTTTTGTCATATTCGACAAAGGAAATGTATCAAGATTGCCTACAGTCTCTCAGAAAACGGTAATTAATATGTTCATGGCCTCTTCTTTAAATCAATATCAAATTTAATATAGGTATCCGGAATACTTTTCATATGATTTCAAATTTAATGTCATGAAAATACTCTATTTTTCACATAATTCTGCTAAAGCCGTAAAGTACGGGAAAAAGAAAGTTGAAATTGATTATGACGTCATAATGGATCTAGCAACAAAAAATTAGTCTAAAGTTATTTACTAGATCTTGACCTTAAGGAGAAAGAAGAGCATGCGCAGTTCGGGGGAGGGGCCGGGAATCGGACCCCCTGCATTTGTAGAATTATTAAATGTAAACATGAATATTGAAGGAAATAAAAAAAAAGTACCAATGTGGATATAAAGATTTGATTGCTTATTCTTTATTAAGTGTATAGAAGATTCTTTTCATATTGAATAATTATCACACTGTAATGATGATTTTATGATTTTGTACAAACCAGATCTATATTTAGACGTCATAATTTTTTTTTCATTTCAGCTTGTATTTATTACTAAATGATAGTATTTAGCATGAAACATATGGAGATAACGAACGGTATTCAAGATATTAAAAGTCCATAAAACAATATTGTCTTTTATTAATTTTCAATCTGAAGTTGAAAATGATTACTATACAAAATAGGAGCACACAAAGCAAACACGGGCCTCCAAAACAAACGAAGAAGTTATGACGTGTACAAACTATTATTATTGTGTGATAAATATTTTATATTTTATACTAATATAGGATCTTTTAAAGAATAAGCAGTAAAATCTTAATACCTATATTCAAATTGGCATTTTTTGTTTATTTCGGTACATGCATATGATTATTCTGGAAATCCTCGGACCCCCCCCCCCCCCCCTCCACCCCACCTTCTGAGTATCCTTCCCTGTTTCCTTCAGCGGGGGACACAAATTCTCTGAATCAGCTAGTTGGTATGAACATTTATATTCAGATATATACTTATAAAAATCGTAAAGGCTTTCTATTGTATATAAAAACAGTTGATCTCAGGCAAAGAAAAACAATTCAGTGCGGGGAGGGGGGGGGGGCAATCCAACATAATTCCCTTGACAAGGAATAAAAAAGGTCACAGACGTTTTTATTGATGGAGAAAGGTATGCCCATCACCACTATAACCACGAATGCACGAATGTTTACATTTACATGAAACATGGCTAATGTATTAATTGATATCAATTTTACACTCGGCAAAAGTAATATCTTATTATAACTTTCAGTAATATTTCTAGTATAAAAACATATACCAACAAGTGTTATTCAAGACCATTCAAAAAGTTTGGTCTTTTGTCGTATGTACCCCCCCCCCCCTTTTCGATCCGCGTCCAAAAAAGCTACCATATCATTTGCCTGCGGCGAAATGCAGAAATTAAATGTTTTGTTTTTAAGAGGAAATACACCTTCTTCCTATTTACTCCTCCCTTGCCTTTACAGTTTAAAAATTCGCCCAAAGTTTAATCATATATAATTATTTCTCAGTATAGAAACTGAATCAGCGAATTGGCATGTACATGTACATGTATATCAACAAATGAATTCTTTAATTAATTTTAATGGAAACATTATTATTCATTTTAAAAAAAATGGTTTTCTGACTCTTTTTGCTCTTCTTTACGTGTTTTATTATGATAGTCATGCGACGCAGCGTACTATGAAATAATTGGTGGCAAATTTTAAACCCCATAATTATGACCTTATTTGCAAATAAAACAATTTTGACATTTTCTTTTTAAAAAGTATGCAAAAATCATATTGAAAAAATATTAGTGTTCAGAGTTAATATCAATCTTTCCATGCTAAAACTATATTTCAAAAGACATTTTTTGGAGACCCAGTTCAATTTACATCCTCCCATCCTCCTTGAAATCGGGTTTGGTTTTAAAGTAAATACGTCGGGTACGTCATTTCAATATTACAATTGGAAAACACCGCGGAGTCCATGGGCATGATCATGGGCATGGATGAGCAGAATATTATTGCCTTTTTCCTCGATAAAGACGAGTTTTTCTTTTGATTATCTTTTATAAAGTGATGTAAGAAACAATTGTTGCTTATGGAGACGACTTAAAACCAGGGAGAATGGGAAAGAAGGACAAGAAGGATCGAGGTAACTCGTGAAATATTCGTGAATGAAAAAAGTGCTGAATAGTGATAATTTCACCCACCAGTATATTCGTCGGTGATGAAAAAAATATGTTTGTGATAATTTTACTGAATGGAAATGACAAAAGTTCTATAATAATACACCACCAAACCGATATTCGACAACAGGCTTGTCATGATTATGATACAAGTATCCTTTGTATATTAGTTATTCCTAATGTTAAAATTCATAAGGTTTAATTTAACGACGATAGCCTAGTATGTGATTCATCTACAAAAGAAAAGATAGTGGATAGCTCTGTTGGAGATAGATGTCTTGTTTGGAAGGTCCAAGTTTGCCCTCTCCGTAACAGATTCAAAAGTCTAAGCAATGAGTGACAGTCTAGTGGAACAATAGCTAATGTATTGGCAGTGTCTATATGCACGACCGTCGTGCACTTACTTTTTCAACGGCTATTCGCACGACCGTCGTGTACATAATTTTTCAGTGACTATTTGCACGACCGTCGTGTATATAATTTTTCAGTGTCTATTTGCACGACCGTCGTGTTTATATATAATATTTATCAGCTGTTCGCAAGACCATTATATTTCTTATTATGGCGTTCGTTTTTTCGTACCCAGTTAAGTTCGGCACGCAGTAATTAAAGCCCCAAAAGCCTTTTGGTAAGAAAACATCGCAAAAACTTTCTTTCATGATGTTAATTTATACAATAAAATGACATTTAGGTCCAATGGACAGATCATTGTAATGTAAATCTGTTTCTTTTAGAACTACCCATGTATTTGTATATATATAAACAAGTCATTTTAATAAAATATTGACTTACTATTTTGGTAGGCCTGGGTTTACCCTTTCCACCTCAACCCTTATCCCAACAATTAACACGAGCCAGGGCGCATTTGATAAGCATTTTCACCTACTCTAGTACTGAATTCTTAATACACACTTTTATAACGGTAAACCAAAAACTTGTCATAAAACCTTAGTTTTATACTGTTATACTCGTGAAATCTCAAATTAAACAATTATATTGATATTTAAATGTTAATAGTTCCCTTAAAATGCTATTTATAAAAATCATCAAGTTTTTATGGAGTATGTAGTAAATATTGACGTATGTATCTCAATGATGATAAACTGTTGATAAAGACCACATGTGCTTCCCAACCCCACCCCACCCCCCTCCCCAACCATGTTCTGTACTATTTTTCTATGACATATTTACAAAGTATTACTTCTAAAAAAAAATCAAAAATTTAAGCTAAAACTTGCCTTTTATAAAAATCCATACCCTCTGATACCGAAGCAGAAGTGTTTTAGTATCAGAGGGTATGAATTTTTATTCCCCCGTCCCGTCCCCAAGCACCTGTGATAAAGACGACCTTTAATCAGAAAAAAAAAACACATTTGAATAATTTTGTGTATGGCGGCACTTTATTTTGGTTGAAGGTGGCTTCATCTTAAAAATGGTGAAAAAAATTTTTTCCCAATTTTTCTTCTCCTATTTTAAGATTTGGTATAAGATTCTTTCTTGATTAAATTTATCCATCCAATATCGATGACTTCATGGTGTGATTGCTGAAATTGTGATTCCAAATTTTATTTGAAGATTTTTTAAGTTGTGTATTTTTTTTTCTATGATTTCTTTACTACTTTTAAGAAATATATAAGATGTCATTTCAAGAGTTTCATTGTTATACCTGGGTGATCCGTTATTTTTGGAAGTGCATATTGTCGTTTACTAATTATTGAATTAGAAATCCAATTAATGAGTACACGACAATTAATAAAAGACAATATTATTAAGTCATGAATTTGAGCAGGCATATGATATAACATATAACATTTTATCTTAAAGTTAATAAATAAATAAAAAAAAAACAAAATGTGATATATTTAAAATATAACGTGAGATGTTGCGCGCTGAAATCGGCGCGAATCGTCCTGGTGCGAACCATCTCGGTGCGAAACAGAATCGGTGCGAGACATCCCGGATTCGTGTATACAATATTATCGTCGTGTGCAAATCTCTGGCATATGCGATTGCAATTTGCACGACGGTCGTGTAAATAGATTTTTTTGTAACCTATGTGCACGACGGTCGTGTATATATCTCAGCAATTTGCATTAGCTATTCGCACGACGGTCGTGTAAATAGAGTTTCTTTACTATGCGCACGACGGTCGTGTATATATCATCGGCCTAATGTATTAGAAGAAACACAATAAAGTACAATATGATGAGTGATTTTTAGTGGTCTTCAATGGTTTTCTTTATTTTACAGAAGAGCGAAGATCAAAGAAAGCCAAGGTTGAGTATGAGGAGTATGTGGAAGAAGAATCAAATGATGCCGACCCGTCAGCAGGTACGTCTAGGACTGCATGAGGAAGGCTGAGTTTATAAATATTACTAAATTAAGTCCAGAAGTTCAGCCTACAGCCATTGTGTAGCCTTTAAACAGTAGGAAGTGTCATGATTGACTGTAATCTAAGAACAGATAAGCTCTTCTATAAGGGGTAAAGGAAATAAAGCTAATAGATTTGACCTGTTCATCAAGATATGATCTTTCCAGCTTCTAAAGTTTAAGCCACCTAGTTAGCTGAAAGGTGATAGAAGTGTGGCGGTCAGTCGGGTTCGATCGCCAGTGGCCAGATAGCTCAGTTGGTAGAGCACCTGACCGCAGTTTCAGGGGGCCCGGGTTCGAATCCCGGTCTGGTCCGCTGCATTTTCTCCTCTCTCGTTACAGAAGATATGCAGGATTGTAATCCCCCAATTTTTCAATCTTTTTAGTGACAGCTCAGTTTAATGAATTGTATAGTTTTATTCTGTATGAGTTTTGAGTCTGTAAAAAGGTACTTAAAAACATTAAATATGCAGTGTATTACTGCGAGGCTTTTTTTTCTTTTTTCTTTTTGGTGAAAATTGATATTTTTCATTGTGTACCCATTCATAAATGTTCAATTTTTCAAAATTGTTAAGTATTCTGTAAAATTTTTGTTTTTGTTCTTGATTTAAAACATTTATAAATTCTTCAGTTCCTGAGGCTGCTACTCGTTCAGTAGATGATGCAGGTAAAGAAGATGAATTTGGTGCCAAGGACTACAGATCTGAACTGGCACTAAAGCCAGACCACAGCTCCAGACCCCTGTTTGTGGTAAATTAGAGAGCTTTACACTCAGTTTCTTTAATCCCTAGAAGTAAATTTTGCCGTAAAAGTGCTACTAAGTCTTAGTATATTTGTACTGTGTTATCTCAAATACTGACATCTCAAATACCATGGAAATGTCTCAGAGATTTAAAAGAAGCAACTGCTAATTCTTTTAGTGTTTTATCCTCGGATATCTGAAATCATTGGAAATCTAAAATGTTTTATTTTGATCCAATCCAATACAAATAAATTGACTGTCTATTACATCTAGTAAAATGGAAAAAAAGAACTGTGAAGTTTGAAAATATCAACATAATCAATTCTCCTTCTCTTTTTAAGTACTTTTTTTGCATGAACATGTGCATCTTCAAATATTGTGAAACCTTGTATTGGAATTTGATATTTGTTGATTCTTGAGATTCAGATATTAATGAATTAATGTCATCCACAGAATGTTAAAATCACAAAGTATTTCTCAGACTCTCAGTTCTTTTCTTCAACAGTGTAGTTATATTTTTTTTTTCATTTAATCCACCAAAGTTTCACCCATTTATAATAAGTGGTCTTACATCCATTCTTTTTAACTTCTATAATATTATTTAATTTATTGCTATGTATTATGCAGATGATGAATCATTGTTATTTTCTTTCAGGCACCCAATGGTCATATATTTCTGGAGTCATTTTCTCCAGTATACAAACATGCCCATGACTTCCTAATTGCCATCTCAGAGGTAGGTTTGAATGAATTAGGAATCAACAGAAGGTACAAATGTACGTACATTTATAAAAATAAAAGAACATTTATCCTCTTATCTGATAATGACTTGATTTTTCAGCCTGTGTGTCGACCTGAGTTTATACACGAGTATAAGTTGACGGCCTACTCTCTGTATGCTGCGGTGTCGGTCGGCCTGGAAACCAATGACATCATAGAATACCTCCGACGACTTTGTAAAACATCGCTACCTAAAGGAATAGAGGAATTTATACAGGTACCAGCACTGAATAGGCAGCAATTGTTTTACAAATTGGTGTTGATATATCCATACCAGTTGTAAGGAATAATTTTATTTTCAGATTCTTTACTTCCTTTTAAATATTTTTTTAGCTGTGCACCTTGAGTTATGGGAAAGTAAAGCTGGTGCTGAAACATAACAAGTATTATGTGGAGAGCCAGCACCCAGTAAGTATCACAGTGGATAGTTAAAAAAAATATCTGGCATAAAAAATTAGCTTTTCTTGTATTTATCAACCATAGATTAAGAATATTGATTGTAAGTGTTATTAAACAATTAACAAAGAACTATAAATTCATTCACTTTATGGTTAAATTTTAATTTTTTTTCATTCATTTTTTATAAAGCTTATACATACAAGGCATGGGTTCTCTGTGTTACTTCTTTTAGGAAGAGATGCAGCTAGTCATGTGATCTCTGTTACTATTTTTAGGAGGTGATCCAGATTCTCCTGAAGGACCCAGTCATACAGGAGTGTAGATTCAGGGTAGATGAGACTGAATTACTTACTGACAAAGTGTCCTCAAAGTCTGCTCTACAGGTCAGTGCTAATGATACTGAGGAGAATTTTCTGTGAAAATTGTATTCACTTGAGTTCAAGAAATTTTTTTTAATTTTTGAAATGTTTAAATTGAGATAATTAGTACACCTGAGCCAATCGCACATTTGATGGATAGGCATAAAAAAGATTTAGCTATTGAAAATTAGAGGACTTGTGTGCTTATTGATTCAGTTATAATAATGCTAATGGTATAGTTCAAATGATGGTTATATCCTCCCAACTGTTTAGCTGGCCAAACCTGGACCCAGTACCTCCTCTAGTGCCCCAGCAGAAGGGGGGACGAAACCTGAGGAGGCACCAGAGGAGGAGGTGCCGGACGATATCTACGCTTACTACGACAAGATGGACAAAGACGAAGATGAGGAGGAGGACACCAAAACCGTGTCATTCGAGGTCAAACAGGAGAAAATAGAGGTCATACAGAAAAGGTCAGGGGTCAATATTTTGAAATTATTAGATTTTCTTGTATTTTAAAGCAAAGTTTGAATAGAAGTATAAGATCTTTAAAGTAGAATGCATTTGAATCTTTTTTATATTTAAAGAAAGATAGAATACAGTATATTTGCTTTTGATTTTTCAGATGTATAGAACTAGAGTATCCACTACTGGCAGAATATGACTTCAAGAATGACACAGTCAATCCAGACATCAAGTAAAAAAAAACTATTCCTTAGTAATATCTCATCTAGTAAAAATTTTTTAATTTCAACAATATTTTATTCACAGATGTAAAAGTGAAAAGGATTTGGCAGCAGGCCTCTCCCTAGTAAAAAAATCTTTATGATATCGAAAATACCGGTATTAAAGAAGTCAAATAAGATTCAGTGTGACATTAATTCTAAATAATAACTGGGTTTTTTTCAAGAAAATAAGTGTTAATTAAAATAAAATTTTATTTAACAAATTTGAAAACAAAATTAGTTTATGGAATCTGTAAATATTGTGGGTTTTTTTTTCCAGCATTGATTTGAAACCGTCCACGGTCCTGAGGCCGTACCAAGAGAAGAGCTTAAGAAAGATGTTTGGAAACGGTAGAGCCCGCTCAGGAGTCATTGTACTACCCTGTGGTAAAGTATCAAAGAATATACAGGTAAACTTCGGTATCTCGACATCGGATATGTCGACAACCTGGGATATGTCGACATCCCTCCGCGGTCCCGGCATTATTTACTATATAAATGATTTGCAAAAACTCTGATATGTCGACCTCGGTAATGTCGACTACCCCGCTTATCTCGACGTATTTCACAGGCCCAAGAGCTAAATTTACCTGGTATATGTCGACATCGGGACAATTTTCTGCTCTACTTAACCTAATTGTTTGTCAGATGGTCGCTCGTCAAGCACGGACGACTCCGTGTATCTCGACGTCGTCAGAAATTCACACCTTTCACACCCATGTTTTGATTACATACTGCTCCGTATGTTTGTAGAGGAATCCCAAGCCCCCTCGGCGTCTTTAATACGTTAATTATTTAATGTTCAGCTTGGGTAATTTCATTGATAAATCTTCTCAATTCTGCATAAATGCAGGGACCTTTACACTAGTATATAGGTCCCATGTAAATGTAAAACCGTCAATTCATTTATGTCGAAATCTGACAAAACTTAAAACATGTTATAAAAGAACAAGTTACTGAATTATAATGAACAATATACACATTGAATTTAAATTAAAATAGAAATTGTGGTAAAAATGCATTCAACAGGAATCAACAGGAATCAATCAAATCTACGACATGCACGACTATTGCATCAGCCTATATGGATGCATAAAGCTTGTTATTTGCGCAATTCGAATTAAATTTGGTTTCAAAATGAAAGGAAAATAAATGATGAATGATTATGAAATTAAAAAAAAAGTGAAATGAAACAATTTTAAAAATATACGCGTTAATTTTTTCCGTATCTCGGAAGTCGACATTGTACCGTTCCGGTTTCGAGTTTACAGAGCGGATTTTGTATCCTGTTCTGACAGCGCTAGTGGCACGCGGATCGAATCCTGGATGGAAAACGGTTTTTAAAAAATGAAATTTCGATAAAAAAGAAAGCAGTTTGTAAATAATATTTGTTAATAACTTTTAGATTTTCTAATAAATATAGAGGGATGGCTGAAATAAATGAGCTACAGTCTAATTGAAGACATGTAGGTACCTGTAGTTACACGTATGTCCAGTTTAGGTTAACTTATGGTTTTACAGTTAAATTAAGGACGTCGAGTCTCAACTCTGATATCTCGACACCTCGGATATCTCGACATTTTCCGACTGTCCCGTCGATGTCGAGATAACGAAGTTTACCTGTATTATTATTTTTGTGTAAAGTCTAGCTATCTTAAGCTTTATATAAAACGAACCAAAGCTTAAATTTTTTATTCAGTTTGATATGTAGTGTTTCATGCTTACATGTACATGTAATTGTTATGTAAAAGCAACCAATGTACAAAGAAATACTGCTGCCTTAATTCTGATGAGAAAAAGGTTCTCTATATTTTAGTTTTTATTATGTCTATGTGATGAATTATCCATTAAGTTTATGTACACTTGTAGCTATATTTACACTAAATACACATATACCAATTTGAAAAGGTGCTTGTAATACCTACATACATATTTACTGGTATATTACATGCATGCCTGTTATAGCTAACATATATATAATGCTGGTACATTGTATATAACACAGGTGCTGGTAAGACTCTGGTGGGGGTGACAGCTGCCTGTACTGTGAGGAAGAGAACCATATGTCTGGCCACGTCAGGGGTCGCCGTGGAGCAATGGAAACAACAGGTAAACCCAGCACAAACAGAGAATGGCTGAAACTGTTAGGTACTTGTATGTCCATTTATTCATGAAAGCCATAACAATGTTCATTGGGAATTTGAAAGGATTCTTCTGAATGTGAAAGAAAAATTCTTTTTGGGTGTTTAATCACAAGAAAAAAAATCTCTATAAGGTTTCTCTTCAAGACGAAATATTTATTTACATGTAAAATGTACATTACAAGATATGAGGATGTAAAAACAATATGATGTATTTTTTGTTAGTTTAAGATGTGGTCTACAGCTGATGACAGCATTATATGTAGGTTCACATCAGATGCTAAGGACAAACCAATAGGTAAGTGAGCTATATTCACTTGTCAATTCAAGTGCTTAGATATTGGGCTCAGTCAAATTCTTTTGAATCTACTGATGGATACACAATGAATCTGTCAAACACAAGTCTGACATTATTTTACTAGATTAATGATGTTAAATGCAATGACTTAAATTTTTATTTTGGTGATCAGGGTCATCTATACTCATCAGTACCTATTCTATGTTGGCCCATTCCACCAAACGCTCCTGGGAGGCAGAAAAAGTCATGGAGTGGATGCAGAGTCAGGAATGGGGAATCATGATCCTTGATGGTAAGTGAAATCACAAATTTTTGTGGGGGTTAATTTTCGTTGTTTTTGAGGCCCACGAATTCATGTCCACCACGAAATGTAAAAATGTTACATAAGTACTCAATAATTCTTGATCCACAAAATCAAATCCCAACGAACCAAGAAATTTTCCTCAAACCACAAAAATTTGACCATACGAAAAATACGTGATTTTACAGTAAGTGAATTCTGATGAAATCAGAAAATTTGGGTAAAACACAAAGTTAACTTGAAACCTACTCACCATTAATCAGGGTTAGACATATAATTGTTCTCAAGCCAGAGTGTCTCTTTTAAGTGTGTGGTTTGCAGATTATGCTTAAAAACACTTAAAGGTTACTCTGGAACAAAAAAATTATTGTTAGAGAATATCTGTGGACTTTTATGCTTTTTAAGGCAATTTGTTTTCTTATTATCTTACATTTCTCTTATTTCCTTACATTTGAAATATTTCAGTTTTAGTTCTAAAGACGTACTTAAAAATCTTAGGTCGCATGTATTTCTCATATTTAAACACATACATAAAAATATCACATCATATGTATTGCTTGTGTATTAACAGAGGTGCAGACAATACCTGCCCGTATGTTCAGAAGAGTCCTGACTATTGTGAATGCCCACTGTAAGCTGGGACTGACCGCCACGTTGGTACGAGAGGACGATAAAATAGCAGACCTTAACTTTCTGATTGGTCCAAAGCTGTACGAGGCAAATTGGATGGAACTGCAGAATAATGGATATATTGCTAGAGTACAGTGTGCAGAGGTAGGAAGAAAGACTTGTAGAAGTTTACAAAGGGATAATAACCTAGTTTCTTAAATATTTAACATTTTCATGTGTGTGTTTTAGGTGTGGTGTCCTATGGCCCCAGAATTTTACAGAGAGTATCTCAATACCAAGTCTCAGAAGAAATTGGTGAGAATATTCAAATTTTTCACTAACATAAAGCTTAAAAATTTGTGCCATTAGTATAGTGTACATATTAATAAGTAAATGTATATCCCAACTTTTTACAATTATAAAACATGAAGTAATTTTGTCTTTTAGTTGCTGGCAGTGGTTAATCCTAACAAGTTCCGAATGTGCCAGTTTCTCATAAGATACCATGAAAGACGTAATGACAAAATCATCGTCTTCTCAGACAATGTCTTCGCTCTGAAGAGCTATGCCATTAAACTAAATAAGTAAGTAGTACTGTCTATGTTCTTATATTTGTCAGTCTATATAGCCTGCTTATATGAATAAAATTACAAAGAACTGGATGGAAAATGTATAGAAATAATACATGTGTATCAGAACAAAGAGTTCTGTGTTTTCAAAAAAATTCTGAAAAGAAGCTAGTTGTAAGATGTTTTCCTAACAGCCCCCTCTGGCAAACTTTATTGTTAACTTATTAAATATGTTTATAAAATATGATTTTTCAGGCCATACTTATATGGGCCAACTTCACAAGGGGAGAGAATGCAGATCTTGCAGAACTTTGTCCATAATCCAAAAGTCAACACCATTTTTGTCTCTAAGGTGCGATACCAGTCTTATGCAGAATTTATAAATTTTAACTGTATTTTTGATAGGCAGCTTGATGAAATATTTCAAATATAGCATGCGCTAGGAAGAGACTGAGCGTGTAATGATTCAATCATATAAGGCTCAATCTTTGTTTAAATTCTTTGCAGGTGGCTGACACCTCATTTGATCTCCCAGAGGCCAATGTATTAATCCAGATTTCTGCCCATGGGGGCTCTCGGAGACAGGAGGCCCAGAGGATGGGGCGAATTCTGAGGGCCAAAAAAGGTACAATATAGAATTCTAATGAGTGGGGCAGAATTCTTTATTACATTTATTAGCTCACCTGAGCCGAAGGCTCAAGTGAGCTTTTCTGATCACATTTTGTCCGTCGTCCGTCCGTACATGTTGTCCGTCCGTCTGTCTGTCCGTCTGTAAACTTTTCACATTTTCAACTTCTTCTCAAGAACCACTGGACCAATTTTGACCAAACTTGGTACAAAGTATCCTTGGGTGAAGGGAAATTTAAATTGTTAAAATGAAGGGCCAAGTCCCCTCAAAAGGGGAGATAATCAAGAAAAGACAAAAATAGGGTGGGGTCATTAAAAAATCTTCTTCTCAAGAACCACTGGGCCAGAAAAGCTGAAAGTTATGTAGAAGCATCCTGGGTTAGTGTAGATTCTAAATTATACAAATCATGACCCCTGGGGGTAGGGCGGGGCCACAATGGGGAATCAAATTTTTACATAGAAATATATAGGAAAAATTTTTGAAAATCTTCTTCTCAAGAACCACTGGCCCAGAAAAGCTGAAACTTATGCAGAAGCATCCTGGGTTAGTGTAGATTCTAAATTGTACAAATCATGACCCCCGGGGGTAGGGCTGGGCCACAATGGGGAATCAAAATTTTACATAGAAATAAATAGGAAAAATCTTTGAAAATCTTCTTCTAAAGAACCAATGGGCCAGAAAAGCGGAAACTTATGTGGAAGCATCCTGGAGTAGTGTAGATTTTAAATTGTTCAAATCCTGACCCCGGGGGTAGGGCTGGGCCACAATGAAGAATCAAAGTTTTACATAGAAATATATGGGAAAAATCTTTGAAAATCTTCTTCTCAAGAACCACTGGGCCATAAGAGCTGAAACTTATTTGGAAGAATCATGGGGTAGTGTAGATTTTAAATTGTTCAAATCCTGACCCCCGGGGGTAGGGCGGGGCCACAATGGGGAATCAAATTTTTACATAGAATTATGTGGGAAAAATCTTTGAAAATCTTCTTCTCAAGAACCACTGGTCCAGAAAAGCTGAAATTTTTGTGGAAGCATCCTGGGTTAGTGCAGATTGTAAATTATTCAAATCATGACCCCCGGGGGTAGGGCGGGGCCACAATAGGGAATCAAAGTTTTACTTAGAAATATATAGGAAAAATATTTGAAAATCTTCTTCTCAAGAACCACTGGGCCAGAAAGCTGAAACTTTTGTGCACTTGGAAGCATCCTGGGGTAGTGTAGATTTCAAAATGTCTAAATTATGATCAGTGGGGTAGGGTGAGGTCGCAATATGTATTAAAAGGGAGAAATCTGGTAAAGAACAGAATGGTCAAGGCTTCTCAGGTGAGCGATGTGGCCCATGGGCCTCTTGTTGGTTTTGTTACATATATCTACCATATGTAAAAAAAAAATTTAAAATGTGGTATACTTGTATCTTATGTAGCAACTGTAATGGAGACTTGAAAACATATTTTAAACTGTTGTATACTTTTGGTAGGAGCTGTAGCTGAAGAATACAATGCCTTTTTCTATTCCCTGGTTTCACAAGACACAATGGAGATGCATTTCTCATTGAAAAGACAGAGATTTTTGGTGAATCAGGGCTATGCTTACAAAGTCATCACAAAGCTTGAAGGCATGGATAAGGTAATTTTATTTAAATTTAAAATTAAATGATATATTCATCAGGTATCCTCTTAAAATGTTCTTCTCAAAAGTAGATCCAATAATATGAGAACAAAATCAATTTTATGCAGCATGCCTGTACTTCAATCAATCTGTTTCAAGCTGTGAAGTTTATTAAACTGCATGAGTCTTGTACTTAGAACTATAAGAAATTAAGCATTACAAAGAAACGGGGGGAGAATCAGTTATTTTTTTGCTGACAAAACTTATTGTATTTAATTAGGAGAATCTGGCATATGATACAAAGGAGGAACAGGCTCAGTTGTTACAGAAAGTGTGTGCTGCCACAGAACAGGACGCAGAGGAGGAGAGAATAGCCGGGGAGGGGGGATTCTCACAGGTAACAGCCATCGGGGGGAGTGAGGTTATTACCTGTAATAGCCTGAGAGGGTGGTGGGGAGGGAGGATTCTCACAGGTAACAGCCATCAGGGGGAGTAAGTTGATAAACTGTAATAGTCAGGGAGGGAGGATTCTCACAGGTAACAGCCATCAGGGGGAGTCAGGTTATCACCTGTAATAGCCAGGGAGGGATGATTCTAACATGTAACAGTCTTGAGAGGAGGGGGTGTAAGTTTCTCAACTCTAATAGCCATTACAAAGTGAGTGGGGGAGAATTCTCACATGTAACAGCCATGAGGGGAGTATATTTCTCAATTGTAATAGCCAGGAGAGGATGGCTGGGGAGGGAGGATTCTCACAGGTGTCCATATTCTCCATGTGTTTTGACATACACAAACTGTCATTAATTTTTATCCCTCTTTTCTCCATTGTTAGGTGAGCAGGAAAGTTGGCAGCATGTCCTCAATGTCAGGAGCAGACGACAGCCTCTATATGGAGTTCAAAGGTAAAAGGTCAGCCTTACCTAGCAGCCATGCCCACCCACTGTTCAAACGCTTCAGGAAAACTTGACAACAGACTCAGGACTGAAGATTGTTAAACTTTGTTAAACTGGTACACCTTGAAGTTTTTAGGAAAGAAATCAAACAGAGGATTGTTGTTCTGTTGTAGTTGTGAACAATATTTAGGTTCAATAATTCTTTCAAAAATGAGGAATAAAAGATTGATGCTGTATCGTGGATAATCTTATATGAGGAAAATGTGATTTCATATGATTATGTGTATGTGCCAATTACAATTGATATTTACAAGTACATTTTGCTAAATTCATGATTTATAATTGCAACGATACATACAGACATGATGGAGAAAGTTAAATTCCAATTTTAATGAACAGCATATTATTCATTAATCACGTAATGAACATCTTATTCAGAAATCATGGTATTAAACATTGAATTCATATCTGGTGTTTAGGTTGTTGTTTTTTTTTAGATCATTTTTATACAAAGGTAATTGGAAAGATCTTTAAAATATCTTCTCAAGAACAGCACAGATAGGATAAGTCATTTGAATTGCCAGCATCCCTTATTTATATGGCAATATACAAGATACCATTATTGTCTGAATGGGGTATGGTTAATAATGTAAGCACACGTTACACAAGTTACATGTACATGTGTGTATGATCAATTTCTGAAAAGAGACAAGCTATTGACAAATAAGGCGACAATACAAGGATATCATGGATCTTGTTTCAAGTCAACACTTCACAAATTCTCTGTTTAATGTAATGATGCTGTTGGCAACTACATGTACAATTTATCAATAAGTTTATAGATGGCTGACATAGGTTTTGCCTTTATTTTAACTCTAAATTGTCTTTGGAGTTTTCCCTTTACCCTGTCATTACAAAGTGCATGCAGAAGTGACCAATCAACAGGGGATGCTGGCTTCTTCAGGGTGCCTGATCCCACCTGTAAGGTCCATGTTTTCTCTGCCTACAATTTGTATTGTTTTGTAAAGGAACTTTCAGCATGACGACTTTGTTATATACAAAAGCATCCTCAGATAGTGTATAGATTCGTGTTTGTACACATCACATCCCATGGGGGGTAGGGCATGACCACAAAATAAATAAATCTTTTAACAAAGCGATGTATAGGAATTTTTGTTTTGTTTTGAAAAAGCCATGGTTAGTTAAATAAATACAGAAGCATCTTTTAAATAATGTAGTTTCAAGGTTGTTTAACAATTGGAACCATTTTTACATGTATATTTAATTTTTTCAGTAGTGATCTCTGCTTTTATGAAGTTAAAAGTCTCAGGTGGGAAATGCGACCCATGAGTCTCTTTATGTATTTCAAAATTGATATCTCAAACTTACGTTTCTGGGTTTTTTTTTCTTGGACACACCAATATATTAGGAGGATTGGATAAAGAGGACATACTGTGTAGACAAGAGAAAAAATTACAAGACAGTTTATGTATATTAATTTTTTTTATTGGTGTCAGATAGGACATTTTATTCCAAAAAATAAATTATGCTACAGAAATGTGAGTATCATATAAAACCCCTAAAAATGTAGCACCATTCACAATATCAGGTTTTTTTTTATCTAAAATGTAAACACCATAACTATTAAAAAGGAAGTTACATGTACATGTACTAAAATTACAACAATTTTAAGTACAATAACTTTATTATAAATGTTAAAAATATTGCATAACCATTTAATTACATTTGGTGACACTTAAGTTTCACTTAAACACTTTGAAACATTTGTGTTGTACATTACAAATTTTATTTTTACAAGTTGTCTTGCATCATGCAGATTCAATCAATGTGATTGTACAACTGTAAGCTGACATTTAAAAAATCCACTTGTACATATATATGTATAATAGATTATCTCTGAAATGTGACACCTTGTGTCAGCATACACTAACCAAAAAAAACTGGCCTAAAGAAAAAAAACTCCCTTGATCTTTATTCTAGGGTTCAATACATGGTTTGTTAATACCTCGCCAACACTGAAGGTACTTTACATAGTAAAAAAAAAATATATTGTTTTTTTTTTTGTTTTTTTTTGGTATATCTTATTAGTTTTTATAGAAGGTTTTTTTTATTTTATAATTTTTTGAATATTTTTTGTGTATCTTTAATTTTTTTTGTTTGTTTTTTTTTTCTATAAAAATACACTTTTTCACACAATTCCACACACCCTTACAAACTCAACTCACATATTTACATATTTAACTTAATATTTTATATTTTTTATTTGCATTTTGTGTATCTTGTTATTTTTTTAGAATTTTTTTATCTTAATTTTTTTATAATTTTTTTCATTATTTTGCATATCTTGTGATTTTTTTTTTTACTTTTCCTTTTTTTTTATTAATACACATTCATACAAACATTCATACTCCCTCTTATCCAAACACTCACACCCTTTTCAAACACCTAAAAGTTTACAATAAAAGCATAAATTTTAAATTTAAAAAAAAAAATGAAAGAAAAAAATTTATGCACCTTTTTCACCAGTCACCTCACCCCCCCCCTCCCCCTTCCCTTTTTCATCCAGCTCTCCTATATATAAATGTATATTTATTTAGGGCAATACAACAAAATTCATTTCAGCAAAGAGCTTTACAAGCAAAGTTTTTTCCACAGACCCAATTACATTTTGTATTTGCTTCTTTGCCATTTTATCGGAGGGATAGAGGGGGGGGGGCTAGGTGGATTTTAACAGTCGGTTTTTCGCATATGAAGAAATTCAATATGTCATACTGAATTTACTGGTTTCCAGCAGCCGCTAAGAAACACATTTTTTTCACGAATCTACCATACTGGCATGTACCGACATTGTTGTGCGAGAGACACAAAATCAATTGCTGACACAAGAAAAATCCACAAAAGGTACATATATAAACACATAAAATACGTAAAAAATAAATCCAATATATAATGCTTTGGGGACTTAAATAATCGGTTCTTCGCATAATGAAGAAATTCAATATGTCATACTGAATTTACCGGTTTCCAGCAGACGCTAAGAAACGCGTGTTTTTACGAATCTGCCATTCTGACATGTACCGACATTGTTGTGCGGCAGTAACAAACACAATTTACACACACAAGAAAAATCAAAAAGCACAAAAGATATACATAAACACATGAAATACGAAAAAAAAACCAAAAAAAAAACAAAACAATATATAGCGATATTTTGTGTTTGCATGAAGAAATTAAATATCTCAAATCTGTACATTTCGGTTTCCAGCAGCCGCTAGGAAACGCTATAACAAGTTCATTGACATGAAAAATTAATGAATGAAATTGCACATGTACCACAGTGGCAAAACAAATTATCAATAAAAAAAAACAGATATATATGTACTGCTGTAAGCACATGAAATACGTAAAAAATAAATCCAATATAATGCTGGAGGATTTAAATATACTTCAATTAAGAAACAAAACAATTTCGGTTTGCGCATGAACTACGTGTTTTAAATTTGATTGAATTACAAATAGCCATACTGACATGTACATTGTTGTAGAAACAAAAAAATTAAAGTGACACAATAAAAAAAAAAAAAAATACAAAAATATATTTACACTTAAATTTTCACACATAATTAAACAAAATTAATTAACAGGATAATCGCTGTAAAATACAAAAAATATTTTCTCCACCAGCTTAAAATGTGTAAAATCGTGTAAAAAATTTTCAGTAATTAAACGTTCAATACACAAACACCAACAAAGCTATAAAAAAAAAGATATTTAAAAAAATGTAAGTGGCTCTAAATTTTTCTAGATATAAAGTGTTGTTACCCATTTAAAAAATACTTAAAATATAAAATACATTTTCATATACTTCTAAAAATAAGAGGCAGAGAACAAAAGGAAAATTTTACATAACAATTGAAGGGATGTTGAACAGGCAAGTGGTTTAAAATTTAAAGGCATTAAAAATCCATAAGAAGTAGATGAATAAGAGATGCAGTAAAACCAAAATCAGAAGTTTAACACATTTGAGCATCCTATAAATATATAAATTGCGTCCATCTAGCCGTAGAGCTGACTAGGAAATGTTCAGTCTGCAGTAAAAACAGGAGCGGATCAAGGAATTTCATCTGTGTGCTATTGGACAAATTGTTGACTGTGTGTTGAAATTATGCCTGCTACTGACCTAGTTCTGAAAATATTTATTAATAAAATATAGCCATATAAACAAGAAATGATAGCAAACATGTATTTATAAAATAAGAATATATAATCTGTTTAGAGTCATACTTTTATTTTTAAAATTTATGAGAAATTAGTAAATATATAGTTCCTTTAGATACTCATATTTACATGTATTCATAAGAATACATGACAAAGATTGTTACCTTTGACATTAAAATTCATGAAAAATATTATTTGTATATTTAAAATTCAGATTGCGCAAAAAAACATGCATGTACAGAAAAATAAGTCTTCTGTGTGGCGTAGTGGTAATTAAGAGCGTCTGTTCTATAGTGCCGCGTATTCCTTATGTCGCGGGTTCGAATACACTGCCGGATGTGAAGACCGGTCCGTCGAACGAGACCGTATAAACCGAGGTCCCGTATATGTCGCAGTAGATGCAGGCTCAGTGCACTGCGCTCTCATTTAAGTGTAGATATTTCTCCATCGGCAAGTGGTGGCGTCTCAATAATAGTGAAAACGTCCTCGAAAGTGGTGTTAAACACTAACAACATCATTGTTATATTTAAAAACAAGCTTCTTGTAATTTATGAATAATGTAGTTTGCTTACCTTGCCCCTTCCTCTGCGCTTGCCCTCTTCCTTGTCCTCATCGTAATCTCTGCCCTGGTCCCTGTGATCTCTGCCCTGATCCCTGTGATCTCTGCCCTGATCCCTGTTATCTCTGCCCTGATCCCTGTCCCGTCTCCTCTGCTCCTCCTGGTTCCTCTGGTACTGCGCGAATCTCTCCAGAGCGTCATGTTCGGGGAGCCTCAGCCCTGGCATAGTAAGCTGGGGACGCAGGCTGTAGCTGCCGCTAGAAAAGCTCCTGGTGTTTCCGCAGATATCGGTGGTCTGCAGGGTCCTGACGCCGCGCGCTGCTTTGGGCCGCTTGTTGATGTCGTAGGGCTTATCGCTGGGTTGAGTCTGCTGAGGCTGGGATTCAAACAACCTGTCTACATCTCGGTTGAATTCGCGCACACAGCTTTGCAGATTGCTCATTACGGCCGGTGCACTGGTGCGAGATTCAAGCGGCGGCTTGCGGGGGCCCTTAGCTGCTTTTGGGCGGATTTTCACATCACGAGTATCGATGACGTAGGAAGGGCGGTGGAAGGGTTTATTTTCAGCGGCCAGAAGTGCCATTTCTATCTCCTTCCTGGTCTGCTCACGGGAATTCCCATACATCTTGGGACTGCTCCAAGTGGATGGGCCAGCACCGGCATCCATTGGGATGTCATAGCTTGTAGAAGCTTGACCACTGGCACTTGTTCCTGCTCCCTCCACACTGTTCCTGTCTTTACCGCTATCCCATGCCCTTGCAGACTCCTGCTTGAGATCTCTTGTTGCAGATCCATTGCAGTAGCTTTTGTTTGCCGCTTCACAGGCGTTGCTCCTCTCGACATTTCCGCTGCTAGTCTTCCTTGAAGTTCCCGGCTCAGCTGTTACACTGATGTCTTCCTCGGAAGGAATGGCGCCAATGCAGACAACTCGTGAAGAATCAACTCGATAGCTTGGGTCGTTGGACTTCAGCTTCTTCTCGTGGCTCGGCTTCTCCGGTGGCGGTTTGTAGTTGATGCGGCTTTCTCCAGACCTGCTGTTTTCTTTAGGCATGTTTCCCTGTTCTGCCTTGGACTTGCGGCGTTGTTTTTTCGGACGGGGCTGATCGAAAGCTGGGTCATCTCGTTTAGTGGTGGAAGTAGTAGTACTAACAGTTTTCTTTTTCCTACTCTCTTCAAAAATGTCGATCATCCCTGTGATAGACACATCAGAATATGTCCTAGTGGGTAAAGGAAGCTGAGGAGTTTTCTTCTCTTGGTTACCATCAGGCCCGTTATTCTCAACTTGAGCATTCACTGAGGCGGCCTCCTCCTGGTTTCCATCAGGTCCGCTATCCACAACTTGAACAGCCACTGAGACGGTCGCTTCGTCCGCCCCCTGTTGTGGCCCTGGATCCTGATTTTCTCTTCTTCGGTCATTTCTTCGAAAAAATTCAATGATTCTTTCCTTGATAGTACGTCGCCTTTGGCGAATTTCCACAATGGGCACTGCCTCGGTTGAGCAAGTGCATCCCATTGTGGAAGTACTTCCGTAAAATGTTTTTATCTGGTTATAAACGCTCTTTCCTTGTTACAATGGAATCAACAAACTAGATAATTCGTTTTTCCCGAAATGCCTACTCGTCTGTGACGTTTCTGTTCTATGACGTCACAATGAAAGTAAATATTCATACTCGAGGTTAAAAATATATTCCACAATAAAAAAAAGTACCCATCTACTTCATACCCAACTTAGATAAACTTAGTACATGTATGAATCTTAAAAAAGAATGGGAAAATTTTTTTACAGACTCGATACAAAATTATTTTAGAGTATTTAACGCGTACATACTTTTTATGGAATATTCGTTAATAAATGCATTTGATAATTTCAAATAGATATTTTAATGCAAGTAAAACAATTTAAAAAATGAAGTATATGATAAGTATAGTAATTATCTGGGGAAAACACGAAAAAACGTTTTGTCTTTCAGGGAAAAAAGATCTTGTCCCTTTTTCAGTTTTGATTCTAACATTTAGAATTTTAACTGTTTCATACCTTCCAGCGAAAAAGAGTTCCACTGAAAATCTGAGAAAAGCCAGTTACAAAAGTGCTAGTTTTTTTGCCATTATTGTTTGACTTTCACCATGTAGTTTCACTAATTGTTATTATTCGTTCATGGGTAAGTAAAAAAATATGCGAATATGACTGCTTTGAAGTTTTTTGCAAGAAATATCGGGTTCTTTTCCATGAAAGGTCAAGGACTTAAATATGGTTGAAGCTATTTAAAGTAAGTTGTACTATTTGTTCTGTGATACAGAAAATGCACGACGAGTTTTGATTTAATATTTGAAAGTATATTTATTTTATTCAACATTTATTTAAATGTTATTCGATTGAGTTTTCAGATGATCCGTGTAATACACGATCGTTGATTAAATGGACCTATTCTAAATCATGTTCACACTGGTCAGTTTGGAGCCAATAACCCAAATTGGATATGAAACTTAGTAAATAAAACTAGAATAAAGTCATTGACATTTGATATAATAGATCTTTGAACATCAGAATGGATCACACTGCATTAAAAACAGCAACTTTTGTATTATCTAATTCCTTTATGTTTACAGTTTAGGACATTGTTTATCATGTTTTATCCCACAAACATCAAGTGAATGGAAATCAATAAATGTAAAAAGCTTAAAACTATTATATTCATTGCTTATTTTAGATTTGCGTTACATGAAAGAAGATTAATTTTCTTTATTAGGCCAAAATAAAAAATAGACTTGTTTCCTGCTACCCGACCTACCTATTTTTTTGCACCCGACCCTAAAGTTTTTTTTAGCTTTTGGGGAAAAAATTCAAAATTTTAGGAATTTCATGTTTCAAAAGTGAAAAAAAATATACTCAAGTTGTATTACATGAAATATATTTATAAAATATGGACTTACATGAAATTCCACTTGAGTTGTGCATCAAAAGGTATGGAATTTCATTTTAAAAGATATCTACCTAGCTACAGTACCGACCGGACACAACCTAACAGAAAGCGAACCCGGAGCAGACCCCGGGTTCGCTCTCTGGGTTCGCTCCGGGTTCGCTTGGGGTCCGCTAGGGCTGACCCCGAGCGAACCCGGAGCGGACCCAAAGCGAATCCGTAGCGGACCCCGAGCGAACCCGAAGCGGGCCCAGAGAGCGAACCCAAATTTCAGTAGCGGTCCCAGAGAGCGAACGCGGGTTCGGTATTTCTGTATAGAGCTGTCAATCAGGATTAGCGATTAACCAATCAGCGCATCAACCAATCAAAATAGCATATTGATCTGTCGATTGGGATATAAGATTGAACGTGTTGATTTAATTCGATATAAATCCAAACACAGTACATACAAGCAAAATGTGTGAATGTGCTGTGTAAATCTATTATGAAAATTAAAATATTATTTAATATTTATTTATTTTAATTCTCCGGGTTGTTTTTTATATTTATATATTTATTTTCTTATTTTATAAACGCAATTAATTAATTATATGTTTTAAATTTCCACGTAGAATTAAACATGAATATTTACGTTTTTATTTTCTTTATTTTTTTATACCAGTATTTAAAGTCCATTTGGTAAATAAATTGGGTAAATACATCAGTCAATGCATAAAAATGGAAATCAATTGAAATTACAATTTTTACTGACAAAAAGAGGATAAAAGAAATATGGTTGGTCTTCGATAATTATTGTAAAATTTCATTATCTCAAGATACTAACAGTTCAGGAATATTAAAGTACCCAATATTTAAGTATAAATAGATACAGGAAACATCAAGACGAAAGAGAGAGAGAGAGAGAGAGAGAGAGATCATAACTGTGAATTCTCATCATTAGACTTGATTCTGATAATAAAGCCTGATGACTTTTACTTAAATTTCTATGAGTCATCCTCCCAATACTGTACTCAAGTTGTTTTCTATAAGACTGTTGCAGCAATTTTTTTTTTTCAAAAAATATACATGTACAGGAAGATGTATATAAAGCACAAAAAATGACCAACAGTTTTCGGGACGCTCTGTCCCTTCCTCAGGATAAAGAAAAAAGTTAAAAAGTCATAAGAACAAAGGAAAAAGAGAAACCAAAAACAACTAGTACTACTACTAAACACTATATCTATTTACATAGTTACATAGTTGAATTGGAAATTTATATAAACACTATTAAAGAAAGAAATCCGGACAGCTATGAAATACGTCTGGTTTATCGGGGTGTACTCAGGTGAAGTGCGATTTACATAATTGAACGAATTAATTACGCTAATTAATCACGACATTTAGTAAATCGTACATTGTTTCATTCTCTCAAAATGGCGTAACTATACTTGACAAAGAACAATCAGAGAAATATAATATAGAAGGGATATTTTAACATGTGAATTATGATCTATTATAAATTTTGAAATGTTTTAGGACTAATTATTTTTGAAAAAATAATTAATAAAGGCGTAAGCAATACATAGTTATGTGGGTTGTTCGAAAGTTGGTAACGCAAACTAACTGTAGAGTTACAGTAAATTGAAAGAATAATCTTGTTAAGTATCATCAGGAATTGGGTCTAATTCACGTTCATTCTGGTGAAGTCATTCAGATTGTTAATACCATTAGGGCAGAATGACTTCAATCTGTGCACCCAGAAGGAAGATTTTCATATACACGCATTTTTTTTTCATGTCCAAGAAGATAAAGATAATTAAGAAGATCAATCATTTTGATGTAAATTTTGAATAATTTAACGAAATACGTAAATTGAGAAATCATAAATAAAATAATTAAATAAGGCCATATAAAATTAATCTTTAGATTCTCATCCCCGCCCGCCCCTCTCAAAATGTCCCGCCCCGATGTTTCTTATTTTGATTTTAGGGTATTTTCATGTATTTTTATTCAGTAAGAATTTGGGTCAAAGTGTAAGAGTTATCTCCCGTCTGTATTAAAAGTCGCGTGTCGCTATTTATATAGCAAAAACGCCATGTGAAGAATGGAGAAAAATCGGCAATAAAAGCAGTTTAAATGTGTAAGGAAAAGATAATTTGTCAGTTTAGAGAAGGCAGAGAAGAAAAAATAGCATAAACACATATAGATACCATCACTGGCAGGAGCAAGTATGTAGAGAGATTGTAACTAAGTAAAAATATACGAGGAAAGTCAAGTTATATATAACGATCTCCAGCTGTGTGACTTAGCTTTGAAATAAAAAAAAAATCTACAACATCGTAGACAGACTTAAGAGAAGGCCTAGATTTTTCAGTAGAATAATTATTAGAACATTTATATAGCTTATGCAAAATAAGAAGTCACACATACACAATTTATTGGTATCCCCACCTCATTTTGTTCAGGGTGTGCCGTCTAATGTGTACTTGATAATTTGTTAATTAATATACACCTATTTACTGGCTATGAGGACAATAGCAAGTTTATCGTTCCCCAAGACAGCAAACTATTTCCCGAGGCGCAGCCGAGGGAAATAGTTTGCTGTCGAGGGGGACGATAAACTTGCTATTGTCCGAATAGTCAGTAAATAGGTGTTTTATTATACCGATGCTGACTTAACTTTTGTTAACTTTTGGGAGTCCAGGGTACACACAATTATGATTTGCCATATTATACCGATGCTGACTTAACTTTTGTTACGTCATAATATATACGCGTCACAATCCGAATAAAACCAGAAGTTTTCCGAGATGAAAAGCGAGGGAAATAGAATGCTGCCGGTGAATAGTTTGATGACTATTTCACCATGGGCAGATAGCACAAAAACTATTTCACGGTAGAGGCTGTTTGGAAAAAATAGCATGTTTATTTGTCATGTTTTTATATTGAACAAATTCACAGAGGTATAATAACAATAAATATTTAACTTTTAAAGCAAAAAATTTCTTTAAATATTTAAAAGAATATGAAAAGAATTAAATCTATTCATATTTGCATTAAGGTAATGAAAAAAAATGTGTACGGGGCGTCCATTTGTTTTGTTGATACTTAGGCCTATATATAAATTAACAATTATAAAAAATAAAAAATAAAATCCGCCCACCCGCCCCAATTTTTTTGCAAATTAGGATGAGAATCTAAAGATTAATTTTACCTGGCCTAATTAGAATTTTTAAAGACAATGTGTGTGTGAAATAGGGGGCATATATTAAAATATTCTTATCGGGTCGGGAGAACAATTATTATTTGCCCTTTTCTTTATTCTGAAAAAAAAAATCATACTCGATCCAAAGTTCTGACCGTGAAAAAGATCTAATATACAGTGTAATTTTTTTTTAGAAAATGTCCAGTAAATATCTATTACGAACTTTTAATGTGTAACTGCTATAAATGAAATCTAAATATATCAGATGTACAAAAGTTTACATGTAATTTATAGATGCGATATCATAATTCACGTGTTAAGCAAACATTTAAACTACGATTTAGCAAAACGTAAGGAATAACAAATGTATTTTTAAACTATATAAAGCATACATTTAAAAGGTATTTAGTTTAGATTTATTTCGTCAGTTTCACTTGTACACCATTCGATACACTGAAAATCAATTCAACACTCTTTTCTTCCTCTTCTTTTTTGTTTTCTCATTTTAACTTAAGAAAAATAAATGCCTTATAACCCGCTGTTAAATTAGTTTGAATTTCTCGGGATCGAGAAATCAAGGAAATCAATTATTCATCTACATGTAAATCTACGTCGAATTTACAGTTGGATTTTAGAAAATTTATCAATGTTCTCCATTATATCACTGTTTACATGTACAGTGTACGTGTCCGCATCGTCGCATAAACAACTATGATCGATCCACAATACCATTACTGTATTGGAATATACAAGGGGCGGGGCTTACTGGCGGTGAGATTAAAGCAGGGTCCGCTTCACGCATCAGTGCGTAAAGCGGTCCCAGGAAGCGAACGCCGGGTTCGCTCTAGCGGACCCAGAGCTGACCCCGAGCGAACGCAAAGCGCACCCGGAGCGGTCCCAAAATTTCTGAAAGCGGACCCCGAGCGAACCCGGGAAGCGAACCCGGAGTCCGCTTCGGGTTCGCTCTGGTGTTAGGTTGTGTCCGGTCGGTACTGTATGGCATGTTTAATTTGGTTTTGTAGTAGTTCATATCCAAAAAATACCATTGGAAAAATTAAATAAAATTAAAAAATAAAATAATTTTCCTACCTACCTACCCTATTTTTTTCTGGCTGGTAGCAGGAAACAAGACTATTATTTTTTTTGGCCTTATATTGATTATATTTATGTATTAATATGTATAAATTAGGGATGTCAAATCGGTCAGTTTTCAATACTCGGTTACTCGGACGTTTTTCCGATCAAGTACCCGGGTACTCGGTAAAAGTGTAAATAAATATGAACAAGTAAATTGAAGACTGTCATTGTAAACTCTTGAAGAAATAAAACCAGATGCACTGATAGGAGGCTTACCCGTAAATGTATTTCTGTTGTAATAACGATGAGCACTTCGTGCCCGACAAAGTTTAATATAACAGTTTTTTAAATTCAATTTATTTATTAGATAAACACAAGAAATAAAATCATAAGTTGTTCAAGTTGTTTTTGTTTAAAAAAAATAATCTGCTCCATAACTGTAATGTAACTCTTTGTCGCGTTTGACGACCAGGTATCAGTCGTCATAATCCGAGATTCCTCTGACTCTAACCCCTGCTTTTATATTGTGACTTGCGCAGGGGAGAGACTCTCTCCCCTGCACAAGTCATAATATAAATGCAGGGGTTAGAGTCAGAGGAATCTTGGATTACAGTCGTCAGAGCTACGAACAGTATCAACTTGAACTTGATCAAGTTCTCCTAACAGAGATGATTGACGATTTTAGTACACTTGTTCGATCCGAGATTTATATAGTACTGTATTACGGGACGGTATTTTGTAGTTTGATGCAACGATGGACATCAGTTTTTTTTAAAGCCTTTGCCTTCAACCAGTTTTATTGGCATGTAATCAAACACAACCACATCAACAATCGCACGTGTAATATCATCCGCTCTTTCCCCGAGAATTTACGGCTTCTCGGAGAATTGACAAATTTTTTAATTATCTAATTTATTTAAACATAATGGATCTTAAACGATGTTCAGTTAAAACAAATAATTAAAGCCAAACAAAAAATAAGGGAAGAAGGCAGTCGAAGGTGAGAAAAGCCAGGTACCCCAGGTACTTGGTCACGATAATTACTGTATAAACACTGCCACAGGCGATAATGGTCATTTAGAGTCGTAGTAAACCCTAATTACTGTATGTACAAGTGAAATGAGCATTTTAAGTTTTTAAACAGATTGTTTAATGCATTAATAAATAAGATTAGAAATATTCAAAAATATACATCCGAGTAACCGAGTACCGATTTTAGTATTCGATACTCGGACGTTCGATCGAGTACCTGGTTAACCGGGTACTCGTTGACATCCCTAATATAAATATTAGATGTTTATATTTACATGATTATATTTTTTGTTTTGCATTGAAAAATTACATTCAGGATTTAATGTTGAATATAAAACTGTAAGACTACTATTGGACATACTCATAACTTGTTGTTGATTTCTGGTTTTCAGATAGATAGGATAATTCAATATTGGAGTTATTGTTGCTTTGAATTGATTAAAATCAAGTTTTGTCCAATTTTGAAATATGATTTTCTTCAAGTTCTTGCCTGTTCATGACTTAAAAGAAGACATTCAGATGCCTATTTGAAGTAATCTTACAATATTATAATTTCAGTTGTACCTGTTTAAGTTTTGTCACATTTGAAGAACATCGCCAACGCAGACTTGGGATAAAAACCATCAACACGTCTTAATGATACCAGACGAGCAAGCAATGGCGTTCCGTAATCCCCTGGAAAACACTAACATGTCCTCAGGAATAGGGCAGTAAGTCGCTTAGTTAAAATATGTTTCAGTTTGGGAAAAAAACAGTAGATGCAGTGATTATTTTCTGGATATAATGAATAAAATCAGGTTTGGATAGTGAATATAAATCTATTGTTTTTAAATTAGGGACTGGTAAGCCACTAAAGGTGAAATGTTAAGCATCCTTAATGATACATACTTCATATGTAATTTTGTTATGGTTCGATTATTTTTGATACCTTTTGAAAGAAAAACCAAATTCAAAGTTGTGTTTAGTCTAAATTATTTTGAAACTAAAAGTTGTAATTTGATATACATGGAAATTGACTAAAAGAATTTGATTTGCATGGATTGACTCACTGAATAATTCTACAATTTAACTATTAGTCCTAAAAAAATCACATTTTTAAGCTCTATTCATCATCATTTATTTATGATACAGTATGTTTTTTCCAATGCCAAACCAGACTAAATATAGATCCCGAAGGAAAAATGAACCAGATGCAAAACCAGAATATTTTGAACCAATATTACAAATTGACATAACTTACACACAATTATGTACTTAGAACATGTAGAAAAAGTTACTGTAGTGATGCAAGAAAATAGAAAATCTGTAGTAGTAATGTTATGATTTATTATTTAGAAGGTTTATGACTGACCAATTATCGTGGAACACACAGTAAGTATACACTCCGCCCTCTCAGTTTGATTCTGTCACAGTTACAGGGTTGTCCAAAATCCACAAGCATTCTCTGATAGGTATAGTTATAGGGTGAGCTTAAAATAAATGAAAGAGGAGTTTATAAATTAATGACCAATCATGAATAAGTTGTAGAGGAATGTACCTAGAATTTTTGTCATGTTGGCAGGTTATTCTATCAAATCATGATTATGTCTTATTCATATATGTCTTAATACATTACATACATTATATAGTATATATATACAAACATGCACAGTTATAGGATTGCCCCAAAATTAGCATTCTGACATGTTTGCATAGGTAGCCTAAATTAGAAAAATTTCTTTTCATATGAATTATTTACAATATTTACAATCAGTTTTTCCATCAGAATTCCTCTTATTAGCTGAAAAAATTTTGAAATTAATTTCTATTTTTTTAAATTTTGTTTAGAGTTGAAGTGTATGATTTTTTTTTTTTCATGATGTTTTTGACCAACTATTCATTGCAGAAGTTCTCAACATTTGATTGAATTCATCATCTTTTTTCTTTTCATGAATGTCAAAATTTTGTGAAATTCTTTTATAGTTGTATGAAACATAGAGACTACACTTTTCAGATTTAGTATTTTAGATTTTCTATTCCTTTATAAGACATCTCTGTCATGTTTATAAAAGTTGAAAGCTTATAACTATTCTATGATATACATGATTGTATATATGAATTCAATTTTATATTGTCTGAAGCAAATTTATTTCTTTTTACAATAAAACAATGTATACCACACACTGCATTTTGAAAATCAATTAGAAGTCACAAATACTGATTGATATACACATTTGCATGCTGTTTAGACAATAGATATTCTGTGACAATTTCAAACTTGGAACTAGGCAAGAAAAACATGCTTTTTCTGGTTCATTTTGTGCAAAAGAGTTGCATGTTTCATCCTGTTCATTTTTCATTGCATGCACTTTTGCCCAGGGGAGAGAACTGCTCATGAGACTGCTCATGTCATAATGTTGCACAATACCGACCCTACCTCTTGGTATCCCGTATATAGTTATGTTGACCCCGTCTGACCCAGTGATTTTGTTATATTTTGTTAAAAAAGTGAAATCATTATAATTCAATCAACTTAATTTATAGATTTGCCTAATTTCATACATTTGCAAAGAAGAGATTTATAGAAAAGCTATTTCATGGGCATCATTTTTTGAGAAAAATATGATTGCCTTTCAAATCAATTATCATTGAGATTGAATACTTGTGTATAAATATCATAATTATATCAGCAAAATTCACAAAAAAATGAACAACCTTAAGAAATATGATGATTTCATAGTCCATGTTATACTATACGTTTTAAAACTATATGTTATATTTATTATATTTATACTCATTTGAGTGGCATATCTCGATCAAAATCAAGACCACAGAGAGTGACCTTCTCAGTTTACCATGTTTACTTTTGAAATTGACAATTGACAAGTCCTTAGCAATTAAAAAGAGGAAAATATATTTTATCATTTATTACATATACTGTAAACGTATTACATTTGGCAGAGTATTCTTTTTAGTGCTTTTGGCAGAGTGAAAATCCCGCTAATTCAAGTACAAAGCTTAAAGTCTTGTACAAATACACATAAATAGGAACACTGAGGAATGCGCTACATCAAATCTATGCTAACTTGTCCAAAAATCAATTTCCGCCAAATATCGTACACACTAAATATAATACATTTACAGTAAGTGTAAATTGTGCACCCACAGGCATTTAATGAATTGATTTTGATATATTTTTTAAAGGTAAGTAGTCAGACCAGTAGCTAGAATCTACTGGTCAATTACATGTGTCTGAAATTTTTGGCATGGCCAGATTTTGAATTGCTCAGCTAGTTTTTCAGAGGAGTATAGTGCTACTGGGTATGTGCCAACATCTGCACATAATTTTCCTCATTTTTTTTAACGTTTACTGCATGTCATATATTGACTGTGACTTATCTCGGTCAATATTGTTTGTGTTCAGTTGTCTTGGAGAGACTTTTTAGAAAATTGATGTTTAGTTGCATTAGAAAGTAAAGGGAAAAAAGTTTTCATTTAAAAGATACAGGTTTCAGGATAAAAATTGAGAAAAATCAGACGAAAAAAGATTTTGATTGTCTATTTCAGGTACGGCTTGAGCCGGAAGGGGACAGGGGAATTATCCCCAGGGTCCAGAAAGATTCTGGGTCAACAAATGCCCCCAGGGCCACCAAAGCAAAATGTGAGTTGCATACACTTTCATACACCTTGCAAAGAAAGAAAGATCACCTTAAACTTATTTAAACACCAAATTAAGGCAAATTTTTCCTTGAAGTCTATGTAGCATTGTGTGAACATTCCTGTGCTGTGAATTTGGAATTCAGCATGATGATTTTATTTTACTATGTTCAAGATTTATAATTTTTCCATGAAATAAAATATGTGTTAAATATAGGGCTGTCAGATCACATAATAATTTAATGAAGAATCTTTTACAAAACACAAAGATAGCATGGAATAAAAACCAACTGATTGGTTCGATTTTAGCACTAGAGAATTAAATTGACTAAAAGTATAAGCAAAGATTTGACTGTTTTCAGATTCTTGCACTTAACATTGATGATGATGGAGAACTAGATCTTGGACAGGGTGCCATGTCAAATTCTGCCAAAGTGTTTCGGCCCGATAGAGATGTAAGAATATCATGTTTACCATTAGATTCCAGCCAATATTTAGAATGTTGTTTATGTTTCTTTGAATTTACCTTTGGAATATTTGTTATAGAATATGTTGGATTTACAATTCATGTTGATTTTAAATCAGAATTTCACATCTAATAGAAGTTTTAAACAATTTTAATAAACTTTGTTTTTTTCGTATCTTGGCATTGTTACATTGTTGAGTGATATTTTTTCTATAGATGATGTCTCAATCTCCTTCACAGCTGACAGGATTCGGCCCGTCCAACTTCTACTCACAAGGTAGGTCCTACTTTCACTTTTAGATTGCATAAATTAGAATCATAGCAATGTCTCTGATTTATTTTTCTGCAATTTCTTGGTTGATAAAATTCCGAATAAAAATTTTAAAAATGGTTAAAAAAGGCTTTATGGACGAAGAATACAAGGGACATAACTCTTCATGTGACCAAATGTTTAAAGAATCTACTTCAGTAAAAGGAGGAAGTGGTCACTTATTAAGACATGTTCTTTATTTTTTGTAAACATATAAATGACAAAATACCATGCACCATGTTTATGCTTTCTGTTTTGTTGACACAGGTGGAAGTTCAGGCCTGGGTACCAATGCTAACCTGGGAGGAAACTTTGCGGCCCTACCTCAGAGAGGGGCAGTGTCAGGGCCCCAGTTCAGGGGCAACAGCTCCACCCCCACAAGTATGAACCTGCCCTATAACCTACAGCAACCACAGCAGCAGCCCTCACCCAGCAGGTAATGTCAATAAATCAGGTACAGCCCTCACCCAGCAGGTAATGTCAGTCAACCAGTAAATGTCAGTCAACCAGTAAATGTCAGTCATCCATGGAATATCAGTCAATCAGTTTATGTCAGTCAACCAGATAATAACATACGTGTAATTTGAAAACAGCCAAGCTGATTTCATCCTTGCAATGCCAAGTGTCCTGATTTAACACATTGCCACTGGATACCTGGCATATTTCTTTCAATTTTCATGAGTTGCTTCTCTCATTAATTAGCACCAATCAAATTAATATGGTTTGATAAGGATTCAGTTGACATCAAATTTCAGACAAAAAGTCGTCCTCCCAAGCCAGGGGTTCTGAGTTAACACTATGCCTTTGGATTCCTGACATATGTCATTCAAAAATCGTGGACTTGCTTTTCTCATTAAGTAGCACCAATCCAATTAAAGCTCTCATAAATAGTTACAAAATAGTAAACAAAAACGATTCAGTTGATACCTCAAATGCACATGTTACACATTGTCTATCAAAGAATGGCTTCATGCGATTGGCTGAGGGATAAGAAAACTAATCATGTTTTGCTATTTTTCCAACAGACTTTGCTACAGTCAGTCCATGAAATATTGAATGAAATATGCCAGAGGTCGAATGGCAACGTGTTAACTCAGGATCCCTGGTATTCTAGGATGAGCTGATTCTATTTTTCAATTATCATAATGTGTATTCAACTAGTCATATCAATGATTTGTTTTATTTTACACATTATAAACTCTATGTTAAATTTTAAGACTAAGTTTATCAAGTATTGTTGTCACTTATGTATATATATTTTTTACAGAAGTATGATATCTGCCATTGGAGGTCAAAGAAATGTCATGTCTCAGAGTCAAACAAGTCAGTCCATGCCTAAATTACAGAACAGGTAAGTTACAGAATGCATGCATTACATAAAGATTAAATTACAGAACATTAAAGTTACATGGTCATAACAAGAGTCAGATAGAGGTCCAAATGAATTTGTCATTGTTGAATGCAGAGTCAAACTTTGTCAAATATTTGTAGTCTGAGTTGTTCTAGACATTTTGTCTGAGCCTGTGTGATTTGTCCTGAGACTGATGTTACTTGTCATTTCAGTGGTCCTATGTCCAGTATTAACAACAACTTTGTGTTTGGTCAGAGTGGTAACCGCCAGAGCAAGTACTCCACAGTGTATAACAACCCCGAACAGAAGTTCATGAACATGTGTAAGTATGACCCAGAATCATGAACATGTGTAAGTAAAGCCCTGAACAGAAATTCATGAACATGTGTAAGTATGACCCAGAATCATGAACATGTGTAAGTACGACCCTGAACAGAAGTTGAATTGATAACAATTCTCAAGTTACAGTACACTTGATGATATCCTTGCTGACTTTGAGCGTGTTTCTATTTCGACAGTATTTGGTAAAGATACTGATGTACCGTATAAGTAGAATTTTTAGCGAGGATTTAATTTTGGCATTATTAGCGAGGGTGCTGACATCGCTAAAATTGAATATCGCTAAAAATTAATAGCTTATTATTTGTAATAGATTCTTTAGTAAGCATTTTAAAATCGCTAAAATTACTTATCGCTAAAAATAAAATGCCAGATTTTAGGTAGAAATCGCTAAATTTTCCACTTATACGGTATGTCTTAACTTTACGTTTCTGTTTTGACATGTGTAAGTAAAACTGAGAATATTCATGAACATATGTTAAAACAACCTAGAAGTTCATGAACATGTAAAAGTACAACCCAGCTGTTCATGAACATGTGTAAGTTTAACCCTGAACAGAGGTGGAATTAAAAACAATTCTCAAGTTACAATGCACTTGATGATATCCTTGCTGACTTTGAGCGTGTTTCTATTTTGACAGTATTTGGTAAAGATACTGATGTATGTCTTAACTTTACATTTCTATTTTGACAGTATTTGGTAAAGATATTGATGTATGTGTTAACTTTACGTTTCTGTTTTGACAGTATTTGGTACAGATGCTGATCAGCCCGGTTTAGATTTGTCTGAGTTCCCCACACTGGGAAACAGGAACCTTCCCTCCACGCCGATTTCTTCTGTCAGAAATTACGGTCAGTATGGTGGTAGGTGTAAATATGTGTCCATTACAGGGGGTCAAGGTCACTTTGGCATTGATAAATTTGGGGCTTGGAATAATATACAATGTATTTATATTAAAAGAGAAAGAGAATATTTGGAGACGAGAATGAGGATTTTAATTTATTGTTATTTAACCTTTTTTTCAAACTGGAGCTGCCAAGGTGACAATTTTGTGGATCATGAAAAATTTTAAAGGTTATTTTACTGCCAAAATGACCCATCCTTCTGTTATTAAACAAGTCTCCAAGATTCATTTATGTGCTAAAAGAAAGCTGCTCTTTTGTATGATAATTTGATTGTAGGATCTTAGTTTAAAAGAACTCATTGTATGCCATATCCTAAGGATTAAATGTTTTAGAATTATTTTCTTTCAATAAAAAGGTAAAATGATTGGCAGACATTTTTGTATTGATTTGTTAAGTCCAAGATGTTATCATTGAAATACTACAGAGCAACAAATATTTAATTTAACAGAGATTTTAGAACTAGGAACTGTGAGAATCATTGAAAATGTAAACATAACTTCACCCTGTGTACTATTGGTATCTTGAGTTTTGTTGTCTTGTAGTCGGTATGGTTAGTAAACCTGTTGCGGAGACTGCCCCTGAGTTCCAGATCCAGCAGGAGGACTTCCCCGCCCTCCCCGGGGCTCCTGAGTTCCAGATCCAGCAGGGTGTGATGGAAATCCGTATTGGGCCCCGCCCTCCCCGGGGCTCAGAGTAAGACTGAATATATTTGTGTGTCTGTACTTTGTTTTAATCTTAATGCATGTAAAGTTTTCCTTCTATTGAGATTGATAAAGGCTGCAAAAGAATTGCACTTATATTTACATAGCATCTCATAGATTTTCATAACAGTTGTGATACCTTTGGTCTCCCTGTTATTTTTTTCAGATCCACCCTCAAGTGTATCAAATGACACAGCCAGGAAAACGGTGAGTCCATATTTCATATTTATATAACAATGGTGTGTAAAGAACAAGGTACGGTTTCAATACAAATATTGCCCTGTGATTTTCTTAAACTTGAAACTGATGTAAAAAATGAAAGCTCATGCTTTCTGAAGTATTAAAATACCAAGCAGAAAAATCAAACAAATCGTTTTTCTCACATGCATTGCTAAATGCTAATTGTGATGTCATAAACATGTGCATTTTTCCTTTATTCTCTTAAAAAGTTGCAGAAGATAGCAATTTTCACTGGAATTTTCCTTCAGATAATACTGTCCACAGGCATCGCCCAGAAAGATTTTGAGATATGTGATTTTTTTTTAAATTTTACACAACATATCCAAAAAATAAAGTGGGCAACGGCTGTGGACACTTTTTTCTGATGGAAAATTACTCTTGAAATGGGTCATTTTGAGGCTTGTCTGTTAAAAATAGAGAAATGCATCAAATTACTGACTTCATATTCCCAGAATGGTACTTCATACCATATTCTTTTCTGATCTATCATAGTCATAAACTCAACTAATACTAGAGCCAGTTTCAAAATTTGTTGACAAATTTTTAGGGCACAATAAAGCTAAAACTGTACCTTCTTTAGTTAATGTATATTATGTATTTCTTAGTCAAATAAATTTTCTTTGATCAGAATAAGGTCCAGCAACAAGCTATATATACAGTAGGGAAGTTAAGAATTATGTTTTCATTCAATAACTTAATTTACATAGAACTGCATATATATTTGTACATGAAAACTGCAGGCAATTAATATTCTGTCCTAGGTAAAATAATTAGGCACCTTTATATTTTAGATTTTGTCAAGTTTTTGCATGATTCTCAGTGACAATAGCAGTCTTCAGTCATTTTGTTTCCTCATGAAGTACTTATTGTTGCCATTATGTAAGATTGACCAAAAAAATTCAAATTCAAATTTTTTTTCAGCCTACAAGTGCTTCATCCTCATCGTCAACAAATGAACAAATTTTGAAAGATGGGAAATTTCCCGGCGACAAGGCGAACCAATCAAAACAAGGCATACAAACACATGCAGATGGTTAGTTGGACTTAGTTACAGTGAATAAACACTGTGTTTTAAAGTTGATTTATATGAAATCATAAGACATTTTTGTAGAGAATTCTATCTAAAAATACTGTATTCGTATGTCATAATTAATAATTAGAGCATTATACAAATGTACTACAAAACATTACAAAAAATAAAGTTTGCAGACATTTACAGAGTATTACAGATATTAACATTGATTTTCCATGGACTATTTGTATAAAAATCAGTTCAAGTTGCATATATTTCTTTAATACTTGTAATTAATTTTAATTCACTCAGGTAGAATTTGAAATGTAATTTTACTCTCAAAAATATTCACTATTGAACAAATGGTTAGAAGTCTGCTATAAATTTTTGTGCAAGAAATATCCACAAGTTTCACATCATACATTAACTTGCAAATAATAATTGCTGTGAAACTTTCTTTTCTTTGTATTCTTAAAGAATCTTCCTGAGTTGTGAAAAATAATCATTGTGGATGGACTTCAAAATGACAAAAATCACAAAAGATAACACAATTAATACATGTAGTTGGTTTACAGTACTGTATACAGGGCTATTTTCGCCCCATGTTTTTTTCGCCCTTTCACACTTGCAAACAATTTTGCCCTGTCTTAAATTCGCCCAATATCAATTCTGTTTAAGATACTATTCTGCTTTAATTGAATTTGCCCCTATTTAAATTCACCCACCTTTGAGTAGGGCAAAAATAAAATGTGGGGCAAAATTTTCCCTGTGTACAGTATTTAGAAGTGTGATTTTCTTTGTGTTTAGGTATGGTGTCCAATATTCCCTCGGGGATGGTTACGGACCAGTTTGGAGTGGCCGGTCTGCTGTCCTTCATCCGAGCGGCCAATGAAAACGACCACAATCTCATCGCCCTGGCCCCTGGGATCGATCTCACAACGTTAGGGTTAAATCTCAACTCACCCGAGTAAGTAAATGACACTACTCTTAGTTAAATACATGTGCTGTTTAACATTGAAATTTTTACCTGTTTTATTTTCACCTTCATTACTCTTAGCACAAGTGGAAGAATTTTTTAAAAATGGCATATTAAAAGAAAAGCGCATAATACCTTTCACAGAAGTGTGATCAATAGATAACAGAAAGGGGAAAAAATAGTTTGCAAATTTTTAAGGGCAAAAATGATAAGAGCAAAAAAACCTCTGTACAGGACAAATAAAACATTGCTATTATTACTTAGGTCCATGTTGCTGTTTATTTACCCAAGTCCTTTATTTTTTGTTTTACAGAAGTCTGTACAAGACATTTCAGTCGCCCTGGGCAGATTCTCCCTGTCGACCTCAAGATATAGGTCTGTATGCTAGTCCTCCTTAACACCTTTATAGCTCACCTGAGTCAAAGGCTCAAGTGAGCTCTTCTGGTCAAAATAAATGTAATAATGTTCGGTAAATGTTACAATTGTCCAGTAAATTTTGAATATTTACAGGACAATTGTCCGACAAATTTTTGGCTGGTTTCGGGAACTCTGAAAACTTGTCCAATTTCTTCAAATCATGTTTTGGGGGCTAGTTTGATAACAATATTGTCCTCTCCAAATTAGAGGCTTGAAAAATAGATGTGATCTTAAATCAATAGTTATGTATTTAGTTTCTAACCAGTAATATGATAAGTGACACTTATATAAGAAAGAGGAAATGTTTTTTTTTGTACATTTACAAGGAAATAAATTACATTTGATAATACCACTGGTATCATGCATCAGTGATCACCGAACGATAAAATTGTTTTTTTTATGTTTGTTTTTGTTTTAATGGTGAGATCACCCATCATAACTGTCATTTTGTACTTTCAGTGAAAAAAATTATTTTGAGATGATGAGAGAAATGAAATCGTAAATAGTTTGTTATAACGAGTGATGTCACCAGTCAGTTCAGTTCACACCGTTCTATTACTTCCTTGATTAAAAAGATCAGATATTTCCATTAAGTTGGGCAATAATTATTGGTTTTATTAGTACCATGTGATAAGTACGATAATGCAATTATAAGGCACTTGTATTAAAAGTCCTAACTTATTGTTGTCACATTCCATCAGTTTAAAGTAGAACGCTTATAACACACATTTTAGATAGGATTTGATAATGGTCATTTCCATCATAATTTTAATTATTTTTAAATTCCCAGTGTAATGATAAAAAGATATGAATTTTTTCATACTTGGTATCAACTATCAGTTATTTTTTGTTCCAAAATCTGGGTCATTATGCGAAATATAGGTCACTTCAGTATGGTTAAATTGTTTTAATTTTTTTGAAAAAAATTAAATGATAATAAACTATTTTAAAAGAAAGTGATTTGGTACAAATTTTGTTTTTATTTTAAATATCAGGTCAAATAATAAGTTTACTTCAAATACAACAGATTTTTATATGCCAAAGTTCTATGTATGATGCATTAGTCAAATGAAAAAATGAATTACTTTATGTATTTTTTTCCTTTCTTTCTGTCTTAGATTATCATGTGCCATCAGAGTACTTAACAAACATATTCCTTAGAGACAAGGTATGTATTATAATACTTCATAATACTTATTAATGGATATTTTACAGTTTTTAAACATACTGTGTTTTTTTTTCATATTTCTCAGCATCTTATTTCAAACTTTTTGAGGATAAAACTATAATTCTGAACATATCTTCCAATGCCTATCATGTTATGTTTCCCATGCAGTTATTTTTGAATTGTAATATTGTAATAAAGTGTTTTTTAGCCGTATCTGTCAACATGTCCTTCATTCTAAGTATGTTACTTTGAATTCCATGATAGCATCATAATGTTTTTAGCTCACCTGAGCCGAAGGCTCAAGTGAGCTTTTCTGATCACATTTTTCTGTGTCCGTCCGATTGTGCATGGAAGATGGTTTTAGTGTGTCCGTATTGTACGTCTGTAAACTTTTCACATTTTTGACTTCTTCTCAAGAACCACTGGGCTAATTTTGACCAAACTTAGTACAAAGCATTCTTGGGTGAATGGGAATTTAAATTGTTCAAATGAAGGGACATATCCCCTCGCAAGGGGAGATAATCAAGAAAAGACAAAAATAGGGTTGGGTCATTAAAAAATCTTCTTCTCAAGAACCACTGGGCCAGTAAAGCTAAAGTTTTCGGTGTAAACTTATGTGGAAGCATCCTTGGGTAGTGTAGATTCTAAATTGTTCAAATCATGCCCCCCCCGGGGAAGGGCGGGGCCACAATGGGGAATCAAAGTTTTATATAGAAATATATAGGAAAAATCTTTGAAAATCTTCTTCTCAAGAACCACTGGGCCAGAAAAGCTGAAACTTATGTGGAAGCATCCTGGTATAGTGTAGATTCTAAATTGTTCAAATCATGACCCCCGGGGAAGGGTGGGGCCACAATGGGGAATCAAAGTTTTATATAGAAATATATAGGTAAAATCTTTGAAAATCTTCTTCTCAAGAACCACTGGGCCAGAAAAGCTGAATGTTATGTGGAAGCATCCTGGTATAATGTAGATTCTAAATTGTTCAAATAATGACCCCCGGGGGAAGGGTGGGGCCACAATGGGGAATCAAAGTTTTATATAGAAATATATAGGAAAAATCTTTGAAAATCTACTTCTGAAGAACCACTGGGCCAGAAAAGCTGAAACTTATGTGGAAGCATATTGGTATAATATAGATTCTAAATTGTTCAAATAATGAACCCCGGGGGAAGGGTGGGGCCACAATAGGGAATCAAAGTTTTATATAGAAATATATAGGAATAATCTTTGAAAATCTTCTTCTCAAGAACCACTGGGCCAGAAAAGCTGAAACTTATGTGGAAGCATCCTGGTGTAGTGTAGATTCTAAATTGTTCAAATCATGACCCCCGGGGGAAGGGCTGGGCCACAATGGGGTATCAAAGTTTTACATAGAAATATATAGGAAAAATCTTTGAAAATCTTCTTCTCAAGGCCCACTGGGCCAGAAAAGCTGAAACTTATGTGGAAGCATCCTGGTATAATGTAGATTCTAAATTGTTCAAATAATGAAAGGGTGGGGCCACAATGGGGAATCAAAGTTTTATATAGAAATATATAGGTAAAATCTTTGAAATTCTTCTTCTCAAGAACCACTGGGCCAGAAAAAGTGAATCTTATGTGGAAGCATTCTGGGGTAGTGTAGCTTATATAAATTGTAGGAATCATGACCCCCAAGGGCGGGGCCACAATGGGGAATCAAAGTTTTACATAGAAATATATAGGAAAAAATCTTTGAAAATTTTTTTCTCAGGAACCACTGGGCCAAAAAATTGCTTTTAAAAATATGTGCCCATGGAAGGATCAAGGGGTAGTGTAGATTTCAAAATGTCTAAATTATGATCAGTGGGGTAGGGTGGGGATGCATTATGTATAACAAGGATTAAAAAAGCTTCTCAGGTGAGCGATGTGGCCCATGGGCCTCTTGTTAAAAGCAGTTTTTTTTTTGTTTTCAAAAAAACATATTCATTTACATTACCAGTTTGAGCTGGTACTATTTCCAGCTGGAAAGGAAATATACACAACAAGCTGATCCTTATATATACATTTTTAAAAGTGAAGTACATGTATTGAAAAAAATCACATTAACTTGATTAGTTTATTTTATTTAAAGTAGGGATGCATAGTACATGTAATGGAATACAGGATTGCTAATTGGTTAACCTAAGACATATATATGTTAATCTATTAATTATCAACTGAAAATAAACATTTTTGGACATTTAATGGAGCTCTACACATTAACATAAGAACATCCCAAAAAATAAATAAATGCTATAAGTTGAAAACATTCTGAAACTTCATGGACATATATTTTATTTCAATAAGACAAAAAATCACTGGAATTTCTGTTTTTTTCTTTTTTTCCAGCTTGCACCAATCAAACTGAATCGTTATGGGGAAGACGTACTTTTCTTTCTTTTTTATATGAATGGCAATGACTTCATACAACTGGCCGCAGCAGCAGAGCTGTAAGTCTTGATTTTTTTTAAGAAAATGATTTGTTCTTAATTTACAACATAAAAAGCATTCTATCTGATAAAACCATTTAATATCGGTATTTATATTAAATTTCTAAAAATGTATTTATCAGTCACTGTAGTGGATTTTATGTCAATATACATGCCCAGTTGTCAGGCAGTCAGTTCAGTTCCACTTTCATTACTTTATTTATTTAAAACTTCATGTTATGTTGTCTTAGTTCTGTTGAATTTATATATTGGGTGAAGGGGATTAATGTGAGGGCAACGCCCTAATTCAAGGGGAGATAATTGGGAATTAATGGAAATTTGGGGGTATCTTTTAAAAATCTTCTTCTCAAGAACTACTGTGCCAGGAAAGATGAAACTTATGGGGAAATATCCTCAGGTAGTCTAGATTCAAATTTGTTAAAATCATGACCCCCGGGGGTAGGGCGGGGCCACAATGGCCGACCAAAGTTTTACATAGAAATACATAGGAAAATTCTTTAAAAATCATCTTCTGAAGAATAACAATGCCATAATTGATCATATTTATATGGAAGCATCCTCAGGTAGTGCAGATTCAAGTTTGTTCATTTCTTGACCCCTGGGGGTATGGCGGGGCCACAATGGGCAATCAAAGTTTTACATAGACATATATAGGAAAATTCTTTAAAAATTATCTTATCAAGAAAAGCAAAGCCATGATTGGTTATGGGACTACTTTTGGATATAAACTATTCAATACTGTATACAGGGAAATTTTCGCCCCCGTTTTATTTTCGCCCCTTTCGCCCTACCCTCATTTGGTGGAATTTAAAACGGGGCCAATTCAAAGAATACAGTATAATTTCTTAAACAAAACTATGACTGGGCGAATTTAAAACGGGGCAAAATTGTTTGTAATTGTGAAAGGGCAAAAATAAGACGCGGCGAAAATAACCCTGTATACAGTAATAATCCAATTTCTACTTTTTCCCCAGCAACAGTGCTCAGATGAGCGATGTGGCCCATGGGCCTCTTGTTTATTGACCTGGTCAATCGGTGTAATTTTATTTACAATACCCAAATAAAAGTCATAGTAAAGGTTCAATTATCTCTTACTTCACATCATCACCGATCTTTTTCAACCAATGACCCTTGTTTAAAATATATACACATGTATTACACTGATTACCATCTTTTCAGCTGTCAAAATCATGTCGACTGGATTGTAAAACGAAAGTAGAATGGATACATTGTCCCAATCAGTATTATATATAAGAAAAACGGAAATAAAAAAAAAGAGGCGGGGGTATAAAATTACATGAATCTAGGAATATATTTATTATGGCCTAATGGCAATCTTTCGTATAATTATGAATTCACACTTACAGCAGAGTAGGTATTCCCCATGGCTCTCACTCCATTGGTTTTAGAACGTATTGTTAGCTTTCTTTAAGGATATGAAGATAATGAAGAATTACATTATTAATGATTAAAATTTGTTTAATCCTAGCACATTGCTATAAGTTTGTTTTACTGGAAGTTCCTAATAACCAAGTTTTACCGCTTGTGATTTGTCCTTGTCAAAGAAAGAATTAAAAAAATATTTTAATTTTATTATTAAAATTTCTAATAGTGTATTTATCAGTCACTTTAGTGGATTTTATGTCAGTATGCATACCCAGTTGTCAGGCAGTCAGTACAGTTCTAATTTCATTATTTATTTCAAGCATCATGGTATGTTGTCTTACATGTAGTTCTCGACTGTTGAATTTATTATATATCTAGGTCAGTGTGACACTTGTATCTGTAGGTCAGGATTAAGGAACTTAAAATGTTCTGACATAGTTAGGGAAGGAAATTTTTTTTAGAAATTCCAACACTACTATTTAGGTACATATGTATTGTTTTCAATGAAATGTTGATGACATTTAAATTATAAATAAATCTTTGCAGTATGAAAGATGACTAGCAGTTCTTGACAATGGTGCCTCTTTCAAAATTGTGATTCTATCCAGTTTTTCACTATTATTTTTGTAAAAATGAGAATGACAGCAAAAGTGAGCCTTTTTTTATCCCTAAAGCAGGGTTCGACACTAACGGTAGCCCGCTGGCCCGGGACAACTGAATATTGAGGTCGGGCTACTAAACATGCCTTTAAACTTGCCCTGCAGGACTACTAAGATTTTTACCAAATACTCACTCATGAGCAACAGAAATAATTATCAGTTACACACAATGTACCTGATAATTGTTAAATCTATTTTTTTCAAACATGTTTTATCAACAAAATTATTATTTTTGTAAGTCAAAATGAAAACTTTAAAGGTGATTTGAAATACCATAAATGATTATAAATGTTGACCTTTTTAAACAGTAAAATGTCTTAGGTACAATCATAGAGTGACATATAATTCTTATCTAAAATACAGCCAGAATGCAGGATTTGGCATCTCTATTTTCAAAATTTCCCGGGGGAACCCCCTCCCGCACCTACCCCCTCGTCGCTTCTCGACTCAGCCACTAGCCTCCGGCTGCTGGACAACAAATACATGAACAGGGCTAGTAGAAATTAGAAATGGCTAGCCCTGCTGACAACTATGGTCTTAAAGTTAGTGTCGATCCCCGCCTAAAGTCTGATGATTAGTACTAACTACATTAGTACTATGTTTAAGTTAACAAAAAATGACTGAAAACACACTAACAGTGTACAATAGTTATACAAAGAGAGAATATAAATATATTGGACATGCATCATAAGTTCATTTATTTCTTAATGATTAAGAATTGTTCTTTTTGCAATGTAGGTACACTCGAGACTGGCGCTATCACAAGGAAGAGCGGGTGTGGATCACAAGAGCCCCAGGGGTGGAACCCGTTATGAAGGCAACAACTTATGAGAGAGGAACCTATTACTTCTTTGACGTACAGAACTGGAGAAGGGTTGCAAAGGAATTCCATTTGGAGTATGATAAATTAGAGGAGAGACCAACCCTACCTAACACAATGCAGCATAATGCAAGCCAGCAGTAGGTCACATGACAGGAAGTGAACTTTATCATGTGACAGGAAGTGAAGTCTGACCCATATAGACAGCAGAAAACAGTGGCCTCTGATATTTACTCTTTTCTTGAGAATTTTTTGCACATTGCTTGTCCTTTCTTCGTTAGCTTTGATATTATTTATTATACTGAGATTTAAAAAAAAATCTAAATTTCAAATTCTCATACAGTGTACAATGACTCTAAAATAATGAATTTTTTATGTTAAAAATCAATGTTTTCCCTTATCTTAAATATACTCTAGGCTTGGATATATATAGGGGAGGTCGGGGGTGTTTTAATGTGCATTGTTTCTAAAACTGAAAAGCTAGCAATTGAGGTATTTATTATTCATTGTTTGATTTTCCTAAAACCACTGTGTATGTTGTATATCTGGGCCATTGTGTGACTATGGTCAAGTGCAATCTGTTTCATTGTAAATAAAGCATTGTCATTGTCAAGTAATACAGTATTTGTTCTTTATGCAAAGTAGTTCTGATGGCCAGCATGCATATGAATGGAGTACACTGTACATGTACATCTTAAGGAAGCAAAAATCAGAGGATCTGGTGTAAACCACTTGTATTCAGGGTCTATCATTAATACATTCAACTATGAACACTTGTTGATTGTTAATATAATTTTAAACCAGGAATGTTCAACGTACAAGTATTCCTGATAATAGTATTGGCCATTATAGTGTTAAAATTGAGTGTGATTTTTTTTAAAATAATGGTGTAGTTTTAAAAATCATCATCTGATCACTTTGATTTGATTAAAGTATTCAATAGACATAATAAATTTTTCTTTTTGAAAATTGTATATGCCAGGTTTATTGACTATTAGCGATGTCATAGGTATTACAGTTGCTAGCAAAATATGCGAACTTCAACAGTTAAAAAAGAAATGTAGCTTTAGTGTTGTCAAATAACGCCGCTCATATGTAGAACGACATAGATCCCTCAATAATTAGTTGAGATTATTATTTTTTCGGCAATGGATCCACTCACAGTCCTTCTACACTATAAAATATTTTTTGCTTTAAAAAAATTTGAAAATGTACGTCAAAGCTTGAGAATGACAAAATAAGTACATGTAATAGGTTTACATATGCCAATCAAATTCCGGTTTTCTCGGGATACACAAGCTTGTAAATTTGTGGCAAGGTTTGAGAGGAAAGAGGGTTGTAGTTTTAATAATAGTGCATTAGATAACCACAGAATTGACAAGATATTCAGTGTTCACTTTTAAGCTGAAATAAGCAAAAATGATATATATATATATATACATATATAATATAATAATAAAAAAAAATAAAATGGAAGGACTAAAATAAGCACTTTATTCATTTACCCGCATTTATGTTGAGATTTATATAGAAGTAGATATTTATTTTCTGAATTAAAATCTGAGTATGGATTTATTTTTAATAAACTGTTTTTATCGTCAAGTAGGCGTTCATTGATGATAATTTTTTAGAAATCTGTTAGGCAATCTAGATCCGTTGGAAGCAATATTTGTAGCTATACATATCAAACATGAAAATTATCCACAAATATTTATTTTTTTAGTAAAATTCTGCCCCCGCCCAATAAAATCAACACTTCTATGTAGTAGTGAATTTAATTTTTTTAATAAACGTCAATATGCGTTCATCGAATGATTTTTATTACTTTATTATCTTTAAAAATTATTTATAGATTGACTTTTTTTTCAAGATATATCAGGTATTAATTAACAGCTAGAAGTATTAGTGTATTTTCATTCATGTAATTTCTGTACTTCTATATACACATGTACTGTAAATGTTCACAATACACACATATATTTGTATGTAACTAACTTTGTACTGGATTATTTTGTAAAAAAATTGTTTGTGCGATAAAAAATGAACATTTTTTGCACAAATACATTGTATATGGAAAAATTGTTACAATAATGATAAACTGATTAAGGTGGTCCTCATATTGAAAATGTGTGTTCTCTATTATTTTATAGACAAATAAATTAAAATTTGATTTCAATGAATTTTAAAATGGTATGATTGCTGGACATAAAGACATAATAATGTTAGACGAATTGAAAATTTTTTTTTTATATCTATGCCATTTTTTTTTCTCTACGCATTTTTCCTAAGTTTTCTTTTTTTTTTATTTTATAATACGTGTATACATAATGTAAGATATATATAATACAACTTTGCACCTTGAAAATATCTCGGGAAAAACAATCCTGCTGTCTTGTTTTATTTTTAATAATAATGTCTTGTTTTATATATTTTCATGTAACAAACTTGCAACATGAAAATGCTACTCCACAAAGCATTGCTATTACAATTGTGCATGTATTTTGATCTTGAATGCGCTATGACTCTTTACTCGGCAAAAACTTTTATTTGAAAACTAATAATTTTTTGTATGGATCCAAGCAATTAAAATCTTGAGTATCATTTTCATTTTTTAAGATCTCCACTTTGACCACAACATGTACCCTATATACACACTTCTGATAAAGAGTGCCGTTTGTCATTGACCTTGCCTTTATGGACTCCAGTATTTCTCTGAAAGATTTTAATTTCGTGTCTTTAAAAAATCAAATAAAATCAATTTGGTGAGAATTTGAAAATTGAGATTTTATATAAAGTACACCTTATAATTTTAGACGAATTTGAAAATTTGTCGAAGAAAAAGTATATCCTTCGCTTTAATTTGTTCACCCATCTTCTTTTTTAATTTTCACCCACCAATATCATATATGTTTGTTCATTGATCAAAGTAGGAAAAAGAAGGCGCTATAAGTTTGGTACAATTCACACAGTTTAAGTACATATATTTTCATCTTTGATCATGTATTAAAAATTTCTTGAAATAACTTCCTCTGTATGTAGTATATAAATAAACAGTGTATCTTTCCTGGAATCACTATTGTAACGCTTTATGTTTATAATTAGTATAACCCTAAAAAAGAAATATGCTCAGATAAATTAAATTCTATACCTTAAAGCTAGGAACTTCTTTTCAAAATTTACTTCAAATTTAAACTTTTTTGCATGTTATTTATTGATTTATTAAACATTCCATTCATTTGTTAAAAAAATTCATGCTGATTTTGTGGCTCTTGTTTCATCAATGTGGAAGTACATATAGATTAATTTTTCTTCCATGAACAATTCAAAGCTTCCATTAATTCAATTTAAATACTAGTTACTTGCCGTGACATTTTCAATTTATACGTGCTTAACATTATTGGCCTCTTTCTTGGAGTTGACGAGTTTCATTAAATAAAAAAAAAAACGTTATAGTGAAAGACCCCTGCAATACTTTTAATGTTTATGTAAGTATTGAATTGCACACTTAACTTGTTTGTCAATAATTAACCTCGGTTTAAAAATTGTACATACGTAGAGCATGCTCTTGCGTATCGAATCAACTGCGATAAATTATAAACTCCGTATGCAGGTGATGAAGGTATAGTGCTGCATAAGTAAGGGTAGTTGACGATTGAAAAGTAAAAATCACGTTTATCATAGAACTTGGTAGTTAGATTACCATTAATGTCTTTTTCAAGTAAAATATCCAAATATGAAACAGAAGTGTCAGACTCTGTGGTATCTTTTATCTCAAGTTCACCAGGATATATCGTACCGACATAAGAATGGAAATTACCGTTGTTAATTGACAAAAGGTCCTCCATATATCTACATGTCGAGTTGAATGCCACATCAAATGTTTTCTTCTGTTCATATATATAAGATTTTGGACAAATTAATTCTGCTTCATATGAAAACAAAAAATAGGTCTGCTGAAAACGGGGCGCAATTGGTACCCATGGGAATCCCAATAAATTTTTGGAAGACCTGGTCAATTTGACAGTAAGTTGAATGACTTAAAATGGCCGCATGCTTAACATTTTTTCAAAAGTTTAACTACATGCACGGCTCAAAACCTATGATAACATGCAGCTTTGTCATAGTTAATGAATTTTCTACAAGTCTGTTCGTTAAATGAAAAAAAAACCTTCCACGTTCCGGTTAATATAATTCAAAATATTTAAATTACGCAGAGCACTATACTCTTCTTTTAAGAAGGCATTTTAAGTATTCAGTCTACTAGAGGGTATAGTATATTTAAAAAAAAACTACAAAGAACCAACCCTCTTATCAAATAAATTCTGAATCAGCTTTGTTTCTGTGGTGACAATCAAAAATTATTGGAAAATAGAAACATTCAAGGAAATTTTTATGAATTTTACAAAACAAAATCTTTCAACAAATACAAGTTAACGAATATGTATACTTTTACATCTATCACTGATACCAATTATTTATATAATAAGGTACAGTCATGGACAAAGACGTCTTATTCTACAAAATACGCTATATGATTTCAGAAACTGTTATTCTAAGTAAAACAATTAAAATTCGACTTTTTTGCAGGAACAGCAGATCTTTTTGGGTTTCATGATAATACTGTTACAAATAGCCTTGACCTCTCGTCTGAAGGTCAAGTCGAAATATCCGTAAATAAAAGGATTAACAATGTTATTGATAAGGTGAATACGTGGTAGAGACAAAACGAGATTGTACACCTCGAAGTCTGAATCACCAATAAAATATCTTCGAAATCTCCTGCTCTCCATGTAAGCGTATAAAAATATAAAAGTTGGTAAATTTGTAATGGCGTAAACTATAACGACAACCAAAAACATAACTGTGAATCTGTTTCTGGCATTAGTCCATGCCTTTTGTTTTCGACCACGTGGTTTACGAGCTCTGATTTGATTGGTGACGTTTCGAGACTGGACGTCACTTGACTCCGCAATATCTGTGCTAGGGACGGCGCTCTCGTCTTGTGACGTGTTTTCGGAGGTAAATGTCGTTCCTTTGCTATCAGAAACACCAGCCTTGTATTCCACTGGGCGTGATTCCCTGTTCTCTCGATATTTCTGGTAGATTATTTTCCCCATCGGAACGTAAAGAAAAATCATCGCCACCATGTTTCCAAGCTGTACAATAAACAAAAAATTATAGAAAAGCTTCCAGAGCATATTGTTGTCTTTTGCCGTTGCACACTGGTTGTAATGTATACTTTTGTTTTGCAAATGAGGAGGCAAATCCATGACGTCAGCAAATTCAGTTGTGTTTAACCATCCTTGACGAACTCCCGACAAATGAAGAAATGGCAAGCATGAAATAATGGAAACGACCGTTATGATTAACAGGGCTGCACGCTTCCAAAACAGCGTCATCTGCTGGTGGTGGGGGCAGCAAATTTTTAAATACCTGTTGACAGAGATCACGAGTAACATCAACACCGAGACTGCGTTTGTCGACCAGGCAGAAAAAGTCGACAGTCGACACCCGACATCTGAAAAGAAAGTGAGTCGATGAAAGTCGAAGAAAAGGAAAACAAATGATCCAACCGCACACGCAATAAGATCCGCCAGCGCTAAATGGGGCATGAAATAGCGGCCTTTTAGTTGCTTGGTCTTTCTTTTATAAAGATTCCAATAGGCAAGAAGAACGAATACATTTCCTATGATACCAATAACTACGATTGCTATGGTCACAGCGGACGTTTGCGCGCCCCTTTTAGCAAACAAGGTATTCATTTCCTCCAAAAGCTGAGTATGCGTATAGTTTCCTAAATTCATGATTGTGTCCAAAGTCTACAGAAAAGTCAAATATATGTAAAGGTTTACTTCCAATCTTTCATGTAGCAGGTATCGATCGTGATTGATCGTATTGGAAAATATAAATGTATCTTATTGAACCAGGATGTGATTTATTGGGAACAAACTAGTGACTTTTTTCCTTCCTTATGTATCCTGGAGATGAATAGTATTCCGCGGGTTTTGAGTATGCGTGCATGTGTGCTAATGTAAAGTGAGGACCCTCGTACTAGATCGCACCAATAAGGAAGAAAGTCATTGAAATGTAGATCTCTTGCAGATATATAAAAAATCATTTCGTTTATCTTGCTAAGCAATTAATGATTTTCTTCTAAAAAATTAATCTTGATCTACACCATGCATCCCTGGGATGGTGGTTTGGAGACTGTTATATACTGAGTATATACTAGCAAGCAAGACAACAGTATTCCCAGATCCAAATTTCACATACTGAACAGGCCAAATTCGGCGATAAAAGTTTGACATCAAAATATTATAATTTTTGAATGCTTCTTTCAATTAAGATCAAGGGCATGCTATACATATTAACAATTTCTAAAACGAGATAATTTTTTGACAAACAAGTTGATAAAACGACAGGGACTTGCTCCCGGCGTGTAATAATTATTTATTAAAAAATCATATACCGTAATAATGAAACTGTGTAGTTTTATTATTACGGTATTTGATTTTTTAATAAATAATTATTACACGCCGGGAGCAAGTCCCTGTGATAAAACAATAATATCTCGTTTAAAGTCATCATTCCGTAAGTTCTAGGGTCGATACAATGATGTCAGCAAATGCTATTTATTATTGAGCCAAATGCTGACTGGCGTTTTTCATAGTAATTTTAGTCCATTATCTATATACTGAATTTATGAAAGATTTTTTCATTATTTCCTGATCATGACAAGGAGCAAACGGTGGGTGTGACCGGTCGGCAGGGGATGCTCACTCCTCCATGGCACCTGGTCCCACCTCTGATGTTTTGGAGGTCCGAGTTTACGCTTCTCCTATCTTGCATTGTTTTATAGACTTTTGATACTATTCGTTATCTCCATATATTCCAATTAGTCAAAGCATCCTAAAGTACTTATAGTTAAAACTAATTTTGGATTTCTTGGGGAGAAGATTTTTCCTACTGTGTATACTCCTATATTAAAACTTTGATCGTCCATTGTGGCCACATTCTCCCCCGGGGGGTCATGATTTTAATAAACTCACTTGAGCCTTCGGCTCGGGTGAACTAAAAGGGAAAATAGGAAGAAATCGTCTCAAGAGTGACAATACAACACAAAATCATGCATATTTAAAAGAGTAAGTTTTTGGAGAATGTTCTTATATATTCCGAGGTAAAATTTTTGTCTATTGTGGCCAAAGATCCTATCCTGGGAGGCAATATTGAACAAATTATAACTCAAGTATCACAGTATGCTTTTATATAAATTTAGACATGGCTTGGCTCCCTTGGAAGATTATATTTTTTTATATAATATATTCTTATGTAAAATATAAAATTTATTGTGGAAATAAAATAAAAATCAGCAGGGTCAGTGTCACTCAGAAGCTACACTACACTACACTACACTATCAGAGGATGCTTCAACGTGAGTTTCATCTTTCCTGGTCCAGTGATTCTTTAAAAGAAGCCATTTATTTCCTTAAAATCCTTGCTATCACCTACTATGTAATTGTAAAGTATTTATATTGCCAACAAACATTTTTTTTTAAAACGGAACCCAGAGTAAGGTAGTTACCAGGAAATTTATTGTTTGAAAAAATGCTTCACCTGACACCATCTGATATACGTAAAGCTTTATGCAAACTTTAATCCCTTCACCTAAGGATACTTTATGGCAAGTTTTCAAAGAAATTGGCCGCTGTGGTGTCTTTGAAGAAGTATGAAAATGTGAAAAGTTGACAACAAGTCTGTTGTGTCAAATACTAGTATGACGAACGCCCTTTCATATTATGTCATTGAAGAGTTAATGTCACAAAAGTTTTTTGGGGTGTTTTGGAAAAAAAAAAATAGTTCAAAAATGGAGATCCAGGTCAAGCAGTGACAATACAACACAAAATCATGCATATTTAAAAGAGTAAGTTATGTGGAATTATTGTTACTTTGCGCTCCGAGGTTAAATTTTGGTCGAAGTCAAAGATCAGGATCCTGAAGGCAATATTGATCGCATTATAACTCAAGTATCACAGTGTTTTGTAGACTTAAATTTAGACTTAAAAGCTCCCTTGGGATTATATTTTGTTACGTTTACTATATGTAGTAAGGATATAAAATTTAAGACGAAAATAAAATAAAAATCAGCAGGGTCAGTGTCACTCAGAAACTCAGGTAAGCATTCTGGCCCGAGGGCATCTTGTTTCTGGTCAGTCCCATCCCCTTCTCTAACGTCAGATGTGACCCGTCGTTAATTACAACAAAACTCTCCCCCAGCCCTTCTTATTTTCTATCCCTCTTGTAATTGTAAAGTATTTATAGTGCCAACAAACATATTTTTGTTTTAAAACTTTATTTCAAAGTGTGTAGTTACCAGGAAATTTATTGTTTAAAAAAAATACTTCACCTGACACCATCTGATATACGTAAAGTCAGGATTCTATTGCGTCTCATTTTGGTATGAGAACATTTCATTCTTAACAAGGAAATTCAAAGAATTGTGGAACCCCGCTTTCGGTGTCTTTGTGGGTATATGTCATTATTTAGATAGTGTATATATTATATATATCAAATACTAGTACTATATATTTCAAAAACCTATGACAAGAAGTCAGAAAATGCCACCAATATATATACACAAGGTAATGCTCTGTCACAATAAAATATGAAAGCCCTATTTCTTCTAAATCAAAAGTCATAAGGATCATTCCTTTTTTGAAAAGTAGGCTAAATTTCAAGGTCAGGGTCACGAGGTCAAAATCTAAAGTTAAGAAAGGACTTTCACTGGTAATAGGTCAAACGTCAAGGTCAAGGTAAGGGGTAAAAAGTTGTAGTGTATTCAGAAAGGTCTGGTCATGAGTAATAAACATGTATAATATAATATGAAAGTCCTGTTTCTTCCCATTCAGTGGCGTAGTGCTCATCGTTTTTGAAAGTGGGGGGGGGGGGGGGGGGGGGGGGTATTTACCTATTTGGGGTAATTTTTTTTACATTCCTGGAAAAGTTGACAAGCAAAAAAAAAGGTGCCCAAAGTCGAAAATCCTATTTCGGGGGGGGGGGGGGGCCTTTGTTAACTTTCAAAGTGTCAGCTACTTTCAGAGGAATTCATAATATTTATTTCGGTACATCACAAAAATGTATCTGCAACCTGGGGATTTCAATTAAGATTTCCTATAGTGTAAGTAAGGCTTGGAAAAAAAATGGGGCAGCCCCCCATAAACCATAAACACAGTGACTTCGCCCCTGCCATTCAAAAGATATGACCAAGGTTAAGGTTCTTGTGGCAGACGGATAGACTAGCAGACTTACAGACGAATGGGATTTTAAAATGTCCCATCACTTTCACGAAACGGGGGACAAAAAAATGATAAGATGTGACTTTCAGATCACATCCTAATGGAAAATGTTAAGAAACAGTTGCATTGGACCTGTATATACAATGTTCTCGATGAAATTAGCATATAGATTAATATATAAGTTTTTCTAAATAAATGTATTAATTCATGTAAGGGGAAATATGCACTTTAAATTAGTTACATTTTTTGTGCCTTTGTAATCAAGTTTGGAGTTAAATATTTGTTGTGCTGTCCATCTGCCTGTTTGTTTGCAAAAAAAAAAAAATAACCTTGACCATAAATTTTGAGTGGGTGCATATGGTTCTATGGTGGTTTGAATCTATGACATTTCCCTTTATTAAGTTGTATTGAGTTGGGGCGAGATTCACATTTGTACTGTATAATTCCTCTTAACAGCCCCTGCCCCTTTACATGTAAGCGCCTCCTAGAGCTTTTTCAATTTTCAGGAAATAGCCCCCGCCCTCCCCCTCGTATAGTGATTAAAATCATCTAGACTCGTATCAAAAGTCTGCCAAAATGTGAAGAAAGTGAAAATAAAACTTGTCTAATAATAATATCCAATTTCTTGATGGAAAATGATAAACATTTAACAAACATGCAATTTGAGTGGATTATCTTCATTTTAAGTAGAGTCAGACATTATTTTAGTGGTTCTTTGAATTAATTAAAGAATGAATTTCAAGGTAAGTAAAACCATTTTAAAGGTAAAACTGGGTTAGAATAATTTATTTGTGACTATTATAAACCGCAATAGCGGTTTATAAAAAAGCGTAAACTGTTCCAACAGTTTATAAATTATAAATTTTTGTGCCTTTTAAATACATTCCTTATAATTTAATTTTCATTCATTTAATTTATGAAAAAAATTAATTGTACAAACAAAATGACTTCAATTTGTACAAAATTTGAATGTAACGTCAGGCGGATTAATACGTTTCTGACCCAAGTCACTGTGACATAGACAACCCATTTTATACAATATAAAATAATTTTTTATCCAATCAAATACAGCGTTACAACTAGAATTAAATTATTTTTTTTTTTCAAAAGATTTTTTTTGAGTTAAAATAGTATTTTAAAAATTTTACCAAAATAACCATAATGTTCAATTGGCACAATTTTCTTAGCACTCGGAGCGGTTAATAGAGATTATATGGTATTAATATTTTACTCAACCTTCAATGGGTATAGATATTTTTGACTTTGACCTAAGAGTTTGAGTTTTGAAAACTTTAATCTTGGTCATAACTTTTGAACAGTTAGCACTAAGGGCTTTCATACATGTATATCACAGGTGTGTTCTAAGTGACAAGGCCTTCATTTGGATATCAACAATTTTAATCTTTTGACATTGACCTTTGAAGTTTGACTTGCATCTGAGAAACATCAACCCTCACTATTATCTACCATATGTGGGAGCATCAGTTGTTTCACAAACACGTCTTGTTTTATGCTTAATATTGTTTATTCTTATTATAGGGCTATAGTGACTACTACATCTGAATCCATCTATATCAACACTGCAATATGAAATGAATAACGGATCCATAACTACCGGGTATGCATGTGT